TAACCACACTAAAAATCTCCCCCACATCCACCACACCTATACCCTTCACCTCCTCCTCCCATCCACCACTAATACTACAAAACTCAACCCTAACCTAACCTAACATCCTCCCGAGCTGACACTACAACACCTAGCCAACCAAAGCGCATTCTCCTCCTCCGCCTCCCACAGCGCCACCCACACGAACTGCAGGTTATGGGCGGAATAATTCGATCGTCCAAATTTACGGCAACTATATAACTCATTCCTCGGTGGTATGTACAGTGAACAAGATGAATAACACGAACAACTGACATAACAGGTACTAGATTACTAATATGAAATAGCTACGCCGTGACAAGGGTTACTAGATAAGAGAAAAAAAAAACTCCCACAAGATAACACTAAGTAAGGACACGGGTTGGGGGAGTCTCTATATGGTTTATAGTCCGTGAAAATGGGGAGAGTTGAGGTGGTAGAAAAATGGCAGGTAAGAGTGGGAGACGATGACACGAGAGCTGGCACGGTGCCTGGTGGGGACCAACTCCACGTGGCATGCCTGGGGACGTCTGCCAACACTCAGCAACCCTCCCCACCTACCCCCTCAGCGCCTCCCTCCTGCACAACCAACCAAACCCCTCACTTTTGGTGTACTTGTTCACTACCTGCCGCTATTCTTCTCACGGGATTAACCTTCCTGACGATTCTTTTCTTCCTTTGTTGGTGTGAGGAAGGTTGACGAGGCCTTTAGAAATAATTGTTTAAATGTGTACCTTAATCTCTCTCTCGCTGGCCAGGGTACAAGATTCATGTAATATACTGACCTCCGCCTCACTATTCTTACTCAAGGTTCTCAAGCCAAAACCTGGTCCGACAGCCACACATTTTTTTTATTTACATTTAATTATCTGTCAATGTTTTCTTTTATTTTGACCAGTTACTTATGCAGTAGCTATGTGGTTCATCTGAAGACTAGCCAATACACCCAAACCTAACCTAACCAATCCCCAAGTAGCGTAAGGGTGTTTAATCATCAGGTGAAATAAGCTGAGGGGTGGCTAATCTTAACGTGATCCAGGTTACCGTGATGGTCTTTATATTCTCAATTTTCTTGTAAACGTTTTTCTTCTCATTGTCGTGACACAACAGCTGTTTATTCGCCTTATTGCTGTTTGCACACTCCTCTGTAACCGTGCATCCAGATTACTGTGTCGTTCTCACCATTCTCAAGCCGAGTTCGTCACAGGTAATCCCAAGAATTCGACGGGAATGTTGACCAGCCTATGTGGACAACGATACCGTACCAGGGATACTGAAGACGGCAACAGTGGCCAGACGATGTGATGTAGCGCAGATAGCAACAGTGCCTAGTGACTAAGAGAACTTGTTACCACCCTTAAAAACTATTCTGGGTTCCTGATCCACAGTGAACTGTGACTTTTAGTTGTCGAGCTCAGGTTGTTATCAGTCACTGTTAGCGCCACAGCCCACCTCCGCCTGACGAAGGGATGAATCACGCACTTACATCATCAAAGAGCATAAACAGCCATCCCTAATAGAGCTTTCTCTTCTATAAATACTATTACCTTCATTGTTTTCACCGTGGTTTAAATAAACACCATCCTCACGTCAATCACCATTCATGGTAACGTTCACTATCTATGCGTCAGGCTGTCACACCGGTGCCGCGTCTACCTTAGGGCTCGTTTACACGATCAGTCTCGGAGCATGTTTTCGAAGCATGGTAACGAAGCCGTGCTCGAGCAGTGATCGTGTAGACGGCAACACTAAACCACCAACCCTTCCAGGGCAGTTACGTGTACCTCATATTTGTATCCGTCCTGGAAATATGTGGACGTACTTTATCCGAGAGCGTGTTGTACATTTCAGGGGTCATGGGAAAGTATCGCTGTACGTCCTGTGTGTCCTCACGCTGCATTTCGGCAAAGATTTGGTTATAAATACCACACGATTTGTTCCTTAACCAGTTTTTCACCCACACACTCCGTGGTTTTTTTTTCTTCAGTATCATCCCAGCAGCCAAAACAGACAAGTGCGGACGTCCGTCGCCGACTCGTCTGTCTGGGAGCCATGAACCTCTTGCCCAGCAGTCTACCACACACTGACCGGTAACGACGGTGTGGCAGTTCCGTGTAAACACATCGCCCACTAAACAGTGGTCAGTTCCCTGCTCCGACCCCATGCTTCGCCACTGATCCGAGGCGTGCGTGGTAACTGATCGTGTAAACGAGCCCCCCAAGCTCTCGCCGACAACGTTCTGGTCACACTGTAACCAAAATTCAAGAGCTAGTGTAACCTCTAAGTATCTATGTAACATAAAAAATGAATATAATCCACTGGTTTCTGATAACTATTGGTAAACACACACACCTTAGAGCATCAGTTCTGGCCAGTGTAAAGTCAACTTTGAGATTAATGATACAGGGGATCCCTGATAAAACTCGTCACCCAGAAAGTATCCGGCCAAAGCCTCGACCCAATGACTCTTCCCTTCATGACTGATGCCACACTAACCAAGAAAATATACAACTGACCAAAACCCAATAACCGTCCTTAACGTTCCGGGCCATCAACACCGAAGCATTACTGGCGAAATTACAGTGTGTGTGTGTGTGTTTGATCTTTTTATCTACAGATAAACTAATCTTCGCTTGAATGGTAACACGACAAACTGAGCAAATAAACTCCAGTTAAAACAATTGATCTTTCATGTACCCATAAACTATTATCCCAGCCACTAGGACTATTGCCAAAGTAGTATTTTCATGAGACTCTTGGGATAATATCACTGTTCTAGCTTTCAAATTATACAGGAGCACTAATTGAATATTCTTCAAGAGGTGCACGATATCTTTCCTTCCTGTGATATGAGTTATCAACTTTGGTGGCTTACTCCAAGACACACAGCCAATGCCTTGTTAGGCTATCCTTGACTAAATCGTCTCTTTGTTTACCATTGTTTGTATACCTGCACTGTCCATGTATGCATGCTGAGCCGATGACCACTTAAGATTAGGCAACCCAACTTCAACTTACGATTAGCCACACAAACTTAATTTAACTTACGATTAGGCACCCTAGCTTAATTCAACTTTAGATTAGGCACCCCAGCTTCAGCTTAATAGGTAATCCAGCTTACTTCACTAAGATTAAACCTTACATCAACCTCACTTAAGCTTGAAGTTGTTTAATAAACAGGTGAAATAAACTGGGGTGCCTAATTTGCATGTGATTCTAAATATCCACCAACAAGCACGGAGTCTCGGCTTAGTCTGACTACCAACCAAACTGGTCTTTCAAACGCCATTAAAGTGCTTCATCTGCCAAGGTTATCAAACTCCGAGTACAAGTTTTGACGTTTAACAAAAAATAGCTTTTAAGATCACACCTGGGTGACAGACGGGGTACAGATAACACCTGGGTGACAGACGGGGTACAGATAACACCTGGGTGACAGACGGGGTACAGATAACACCTGGGTGACAGACGGGGTACAGATAACACCTGGGTGACAGACAGGGTACAGATAACACCTGGGTGACAGACGGGGTACAGATAACACCTGGGTGACAGACAGGGTACAGATAACACCTGGGTGACAGACAGGGTACAGATAACACCTGGGTGACAGACGGGGTACAGATAACACCTGGGTGACAGACAGGGTACAGATAACACCTGGGTGACAGACGGGGTACAGATAACACCTGGGTGACAGACGGGGTAGATCACACCTGGGTGACAGACGGGTACAGATCACACCTGGGTGACAGACGGGGTACAGATAACACCTGGGTGACAGACGGGGCAGATAACACCTGGATGACAGGACAGATAACACCTGGGTACACAGACGGGGTACAGATCACAGACAGACGGGGTACAGATCACCTGGGTGACAGACGGGGTACAGATAACACCTGGGTGACAGACGGGGTACAGATAACACCTGGGTGACAGACAGGGGCACAGATAACACCTGGGTGACAGACAGGGGATAACACCTGGGTGACAGACGGGGTACAGATAACACCTGGGTGCAGACAGACGGACGGTACAGATCACACCTGGGTGACAGACGGGGTACAGATCACACCTGGGTGACAGACAGGGTACAATAACACCTGGGTGACAGACGGGGGTACAGATAACACCTGGGTGACAGACGGGGTACAGATAACACCTGGGTGACAGACGGGTACCGATCACACCTGGGTGACAGGCGGGTACAGATCACACCTGGGTGACAGACGGGGTACAGATAACACCTGGGTGACAGACAGGGTACAGATCACACCTGGGTGACAGACAGGGTACAGATCACACCTAGGTGACAGACAGGGTACAGATAACACCTGGGTGACAGACGGGGTACAGATCACACCTGGGTGACAGACAGGGTACAGATCACACCTGGGTGACAGACGGGGTACAGATAACACCTGGGTGACAGACGGGGTACAGATCACACCTGGGTGACTTATATCATTAGTCTATTAACTGTAAACATTTTCCCGTCATTTTCTTGGTAAAAACCGCCTGTGATAATTGGTTTACCTTAACATGGGGAATTATCGGGGAGGAGGATTATGGGAGACATTTTTTTTATATATTATAGGAGTATTTAAATTGCTTACTCCTTATGTAAGTAAAACACAAAATTTACTCTATATAGATCCAGAACCAATTTTATCTCAGCTGATACTTGCTTCCTTCTGACATGATCATTCGGTGGATGATTATAATTATAACTTCAAGACCAAAGTTAAGCCTACAGTCTTTATCACAAGTCTCATTACCTAACTCTCCTCACCACTTGGCCTGGTACACGTCACTGAAGGTCAGGCATTATCTGGCTCTTCTCTTCTTGGGGTCACAAAGTGAAACCTATCCGGTCAAATTCACATCTACGGCTAAAATCACTTCATCCCGATAATAGACTACTTCCTTGACCTGTAAATGTGTTGATGGGGAAAGTGGGTGTTTAAAATTGGTCTTACCTTTGTCTGTGAGCTGGTATTTGGTGCTGGGTGCTGAGGTAGGAACCCCACACAGGAGTCCAACAAAACAGAACAGTATCACTAGTGTTCTCCACCGTGGGAGTTTTAACGAGTACAGTTTCATCGTGACTACTTGGACACCTTCACTATACTCTCATACTGGAATATAAATAGGTGGCCAAGATAATTTTGTCATTAATGTCGTCGATCACCGGCCAGCAGCAGTACCTCCACACTCTCTACTGACTCACACACAACTGACACATTCTACGTTGACTGTACATCTCGTAAAGAAAACAGGGATACTCTAATATTTCTAGGCACAATTTATATTACAAATATATTCTAATTACTATATATAAATTAAATATAGTTAATTTTTTAACCTAAAAAATTGTATTACTGATACTATGATATTTATTTATTTTCTTAATTCTAGTAGATGCTCCCTGTATTTAAATGGCTTCAGCTGACTTCCTTATTTACCTTTAAATTTCCTGTTATACTAACATCTGGATGTAAAACTTCCATTACCCAAAATTTGATTTGTTTTTGGTCCTTGTGCGATATATTTGATTTAATCCTACAAGAAGAATAAGAGAATTTGCAAAAAAAACGAATAAATAAATGACAGATCGGACATGTGTTTACGTCGCGACAGCTGATTGGTTCACGGCAACCTGCTGCCAGCGTTCACTCTTTTCCTGATTCTTTCCCAGCGCACAAAAGATTATTTCCATAAAACTTCGTTTATTTAGCGGCCACCACAATATATTGGAGGAAGGGTTACTTAGTTGTTAATGAAACAATTTTAAGTCTCAGTGCTCATCGTTTTCTACTGGTAACTGGTCTATAAATGTGAGTCTCTATGAGGTCTACCTTCTATGTCTCATTTGAAGAGCTGTCAGTCCCAAGGTGTAATAGGCATGTATTGCTTCAAGAATGGTTATAGTTTAATCCTTTTATAAGTACGCCGAAGAGAGAGAGAGTATACTACTCATCAGAGAGATAGTAAGGACAAGGAGACAGATTGGAGAAACTAAAAAAATTATGTTTTCATCGAAAACGAGTATTGCTTCAGGTAACACTGTAGTGAAATTTGGGGAACCTAAAAATAATAGGAATGTGTATGTTAGTTGAGCTTCCTTACTACAGTATATATTCCTTAGTTTACATGTGTGTCGGCGGTGTCATTTCATCTGTCTGCACGAAATGCAATTTGTGGTTATTTGGGCACTTTTTCACCTTATTCTTGGGTTACATTAGATTTTGCTTTTCCATACTTTCACTTGCAACTGTCTATATTTCATTTCAAATTTTCAATGTATTTTAAATAACTGAAAAAAAAACGATGAGAAGGATGGGGCTTCAAAACTTGCTTAATACACCCTCCAGACCCATCATAATGCTCCCATCAAACATGGCCATGCCCATCGGCCAATTTCCTTTTGAGTATTTAATTGAGTCACAACGAAAAAAGACGTCGTAGCTTAAGTTATGAACATCTCTGGTGGAGGTGAGGTGAGGTGAGGCAGACCAAGTGGACGCTGCTGGAGGTTTGTTCGCTGGTATAAGTGTTCCCCAGCCGTCGGTTGTGTTGTGTACATCAGTCACTCAGTCACCTCTTAGTTTAATTCCTTCAAGGTAACACACATAGAAAGTCTTTAAGTCGAATACAGACGGAATAAAGGAGGGAAGACAACCAAACTACAGTACAGTATACCCAAATAAGAGGAAGAAAAACCTTACCATCATGAACCCAATTGGTCCAGGTGAGTATGCTGAAATATGTCAGGATTCGTTATAGATTATATCATTTTGTGTAGGTCATTACATTTTGTCTGGGGTGTCAGCGATAAGTTTTACTACAAGAAGCTTCGAGACAGAATATTCTACATCACGTGAGGCACTGTCTATCTATACTAAAACACACCAATGGTAGCTGGCATGTGGCATTATCTTCTCCCACAGTGTGTATTTGACAGGATGATGGAGAGTTAGATATTTATTTCATTCGAGGAAATTCAATGCACACTTCATTGTCACTGTCAGGTTTAGAGATGAACTGTTGATTTGTTAACTGGTAAGGGACCCTAATGCTAAGCAACCTTCTATAAATATGTATAAGTTGCCAACACCTGCTCAAAGATTGAGTTTTATGAAAGAAAAAAATTCCCTAAAACTTTTCCCTAAAGTGTCTCATCATCATAACACACACTATTGTAAACTGTTAGTGTAGATATGATAAACCAACCAGACTTGCTTAACCTAACCAAACTTCCTTGAATTGAAAGGTTATATTTTGTTATCTATTTTAGGTTACGTTAGATAGGTTGGTTAGGACCAATTTATTTGTATATTCAGTACAGTAGTTATTGTCAAAAGAAGGAGGAATATTTACAAAAGATATTGAGGTCATTACCTGCTCACTGTTTCATGGGTAAAGTAGATTGTTGATAATTCTGACGTCAATACTTTGAAAAACCAGAAATATCGGTCTGTCTCTGACCAGTTCGGACATCTGTGGTAAAAATCAGATGAAAATCCTGGTTTTTAATGCAGTATTTTTCTTATGTCTTCATCACCAGGCAACCATGACCGTGCTTGGAATGATCCACCAAAGTTTGCATTCAATGCCAGTGGTGCAGCAGCTTCTGGAGCCACTGGTGGCCGACGCCGATTGTTGAATAAGAGAGTTCCTGTACCAATTGGTCCCTCAAGCACTTCCAGCCCAGTGCCTCCTGTTTTAAGGTAAGTTCTAATGTTGAGTACTCGTGATCCATTGTTTGTGAATTTCTCAAAGCACCTCATTCACAGGACATTTGTCATGTCCAGAATTAGATCATAATTTTTTCCCATGATGAATGGAAACATTTTCCTCATCTCCTAAATGTTAACACTCAGCAACCGTTCTTGTATGCTATGTGAATATTTCTGCTTGTTATCTTAAGTCTTTCCTGTTGCTTTCCACACTTGGCTCACTCTCCCCTCTCATCTTTGGGTTCTGTGCCCATGATCCACTTCATACAGAAGTGTGAGAAGAGTAGAAATAATTGATAGAAATTTATTTATAATTTCAGACCTGGCGACACCCCACCCACTATGGGAAATATCCCACTTCGGCCACCTAGAGTTGATCCTCTACCAATTCAGCCATCCCCAGTTAATTGTCTTCATGATGTAAAACCTAAAATTCCTGTAGGCAGCAGAACAGATGAAGTAAAACCCAGTGAAAATGCTCAGGAACTTTTAGAAGAAGTGGATTTGGCACTGAAGAATTCACTTGAGAGTATTAGTGTTGAACTGAAGGTAACTCTCTCGGAAGATACATACAGTAATGACTTAAGAATATTTAGTCTTTTATAGATGGTAGTATTACTTGAAAGCACAAAGTTTTTCTGAATTTCATTACTTCTACTTTGAAGATGGGCTCTCCCATGACCATATAGATAATCTGTCTCTCCTTTGGTTGAATCTCAACCCACCATCATGTACAGTACGTATATTGGACGAGCACTTGGTAGGCTTTGTGCCACCTCCCTCCCACTTCTACTTAGTTTGAGATACTGTACAGTACTTCAGTCCCCTGAGCCACACCTGGCTATACTAGATTTGAGATTTACTGCTTGGAATTTCCATTTTATAGCCAAGGTTGGACTGAGCCACAGATTCCTTCTCTCCACCCCTTGGGTGTGGCTTAATTGAGCTGGAGCTGAGTAGATGATCCATGAACTGACATTTTGTAGCTATTTCAAGTGGGGGTTGTGAAGTGCAAGTGTCAGTGGTCGCTCACCTTCACCTCCCAGACTCCTCTTTAAGGGATTGTGTTTTGATGGAAAGGTCAAGTAATTAATGTACAGTATTGTGAATAATCAGTTTACTGAAGATTTTATATAGTGTTTAAATGTATTTTATTTTTTTAGAGCTTTATTTTATAATTCCTAAGTGATAAAAGCTTATTTACCGATCATTAGTGTAAACATTTATGTATTGACAGGACAGTGTTCGGGATGAGATCAACAAACGTGTCAGTACGATGAAGACAATGTGGCTTGATGGAAAACTCAACAATGTGGTGCAAAGGAGGATTTTATCTCTTGCCAGAGGTATGTTGGCTTTTATAAGCCATAAGTAATGTAATATTTTTAAATAAGATGTAGAAATTTATACAATACAGTAGTTAAACATATGTATATCAAGTCAACTAGTGAAAACCTCCCTTAGGGGTGACCTTCCAGTTTGGTAATGCACATAATACAACAGCCTGAATGACTAGTGAGCTGATAAGTGGTCAAATGATTAATTGATAGATGAAATACTGTATATAAATTAATTATTGAATGTTAAAATGTGTAAAATGGTTCCTTGGTTTTGAGCCACATAGCTGCATCATATTGATCTCTGCTATAACTGACACACTTCTTTCAAATTACGTACACTTTAATTTTTTTTTTATTTAAATTGTTGCTGAATTTAAAAAAAAGTCATAAGATAATTATGGTCACTTAATTACAGTATAATGAATTTGGAGGACATTTACTCTTTCAGCTTTAACTCAGGAAGAATATGATATAGCGTGGACTTTACACCAGGGTCTCATCGTGGACTACACAAGTATGTGTTCACCCTGGATGGTCGGCATCAAGACGTTAATATCCGAGTGTCGCAATCATTCAAAAGGTGAAGCTAATATAAACAGTGCGTCTCCAGCCAAAGATGACGAAAATAAAGAGAAACTAGATATAGATCCTGTCATGGGTGTCGAAGATATGACAGTGAGGGAGAAAGACAGTGACACAGGCAGCAGGTGTGAGAGTGATGCCACTGTCTGTGACACTGTTGTAGAGAAACCAGAAAACAAGTCCCCAAGTTAGACACATCACAGCAGGTTATAATATGCTTCCCTCTCAATAAATTTTTTTCATAATATTTCTAGTGTTTCTTGTGTTCTTATATTAAGATTAGTTTGAGGTACTGTTTACATGTCTCGTGTGTCTTAGGTCTTCACCACGATACAAACAAAATGATATTACTAAGGGTGAGGTGGTTCATAAGGTTCAGGAACAAACAACCTAATATATACTGTATAGGGTGTTGATGGTAAACAACAATAAACATGTTTGTAACTCAATAAGGATATTACCCATTCTTACCCTGAAAAATTCTTTGCAATAATTTTCATTGATTCTGCTGTAAAACTCTTGATATTTAGAAAGTCACCAAATCTCTGATCAATAGCTTGCTTGTAGTCTAGTCATTCATCTTAATTATTATTATTTCATAATTATGATTTCAAACCAAATTCCCAGTCTATTAATGAATGTTTTTATAACATGATGGTAGCCTGAGGAAACCTGTGTAGTGGGCCATCAAGTTGACAGGGATCAACTTAGGCTTTAACCCCCCTACACTAATATAATCACAGTACTTCATCACGCCCATCACAACTGTTGCTCTTTAAAAATGATGATTAGAGAAGACAATGTCCCTGAAGGGTTGAAATGTGAGTGGGTCTTGGTGCTCCAGCAAGTACAGTACATGCACCTTTCCTTGTCTTATTGGCTACCTTAGAAGATTTCCAATACTGTACAGTATCAGCTTTAGTTCAGTCATCTCTGCTAAAAGCAGGTCATTATCTAGAGTGCTTCGCTTAATAACAGATCTACAGTAAGTAGTATTTGCACCTCATGTTTAGCTCTACGGGGATAAGTATATGGCCATGCCTTTCAACTGCATTATTCATAATGTGAAATGAATTCAAGATTTTACGTAATTCAGACTGCAGGAGTTGTTGTTGTTCAGACATTATTTCTTGGTGGTGCTAGTTGTGCCCACCCTCATGACCAATGGTGGCTCCTGGACTCACAAGTACAGGATATATAACTTAGTGTTTTGTTAAACAGATGGTTATCTGATCCATGGGGTAAGAATATCTGGTCTGAGGCCAAAAATTGTTATAGGAACCCCAATTAAGGGTGTTGATCAGGGGGCTGACTGGAATTCTTCTCACAGGGTAATGTGCTAACACATACAGTACAGTGGTACTGTGCCTTATTATGCTCCACAGTAAAACATGGAGACACCACTGAAGGAGTTTGTTATGGTTTAGAGAATAAGGTGGTTTGGTTTACCAATTAAACTCCTTGATGATCTTAATTAATGACCCCAAGTGATTTCAGTCAGTTGCAGGGACATAGTTTTTGTAGCCCAGAAGTGTGATACAGTATCACACTTTGTCCATATTCAGGTAACCACATTTGGTGCTGTTCATCATTTTTGTTCTGTTAAAACAGCTTTTATTTTTTTAATTATGCCCAAGGGGCCACAAACACAGTATAAGACACACATTCAAGTACAACTCAAGGTGACAACACAGTTTCATTTATTACCCACTAAACTGTGGCTAGTATATCGGAAGTACATTTAAGTCATCTGGTTGAAGTTCAGATTGAAACCCATAAGCTTGATGGTACAATACAGTACAGTACTTGGGTCTTCTTGTCATGTCTGTCGTAAAATAGGATTTCCAGGATAAATTCTTTTTTTTTTCTCCAATGAATTCCTAAGTTCAGAAATGTTATTTTTCTGTCTGTTTATGACAATCACATTTACTCTTGCACTTGCAGTTACTGAATTGAATTCATTAGCGACAAATGCAGTCAAGTCAAGATTTTTTCTAACAATACAATGAAAGAATACTGTACATACTTAAATAAAGATTGGAAAAAATCCATTGTATTCTCACTTACTGTGACATATACTGTAGAATTAAAAGTTGCTCGATGTAACGTCTTGTTGCTGTGCGGGTTGACAGTGAGACTGCCATGCTGTACGTACAATGTTTTCATTGCTTGTTGTATTTTCACTTTGTTTTTCTTCACTAAACTTTTGGTACTGACTTCCAAATAAAATTGTTCTGAAACCAGTTCCTTTTCATTCTCTTTCACTTCAATCGACAAAATAATATTACTGATGCAAGAGTCAGCACCACACTGGGTCACCGGCCTCCTTAGCCAGAGGACACACTCCCTCTCTATGGCCTATCGGGCTTCACTGAACATGTTAAGCATATATTGCTGCAATACAGTACCTGGTAACTCTATAGGTTGCTGAAGATATCATTGGTTACCATATTGGATCAAAACAAAGGGCAGGTAATTTTTAATATGCAGGAACATGTATGTAACTGCTACTGGGGGACCTTCATTCTGTATGTCTAGGGTTTAGTATTATCCTCTTATGATTCTCCTGTAAACGTAAGTGCCTGGCGGTCAATCCTTTATCCAGTTTACGGCGTAGTGTGTTTTATTTGCATTCCTTTTAGATTTAGTAGTGTTCATTTAAAATGGTTCTCTCTGTATTTACCAAAAATTAAGTACTGTAGTGAAAACTGTACCATATTGTTATAGTAAAGGATAAGTGAACTAAGAGTTTATTGTTCAGGGTTTACCTGTGACCTGTTTTAGGCATTCAGTGATAACCTTACTACACTAAGTACTGCAACAATGAGCACAGTTTTTATAGGAAAGGTCTTTTGAATATTAATTTAAGTATATGTATTAAACCAATAAATTTTTACCAGTAATGTTTTAGTAAAAAAATTTTTTCATTATCCTGAGCACTATCTCACCAATAAGTGTACCATGCATCTGGCAACGTGTCCACTACTACATGGTGGTGTGAAAGGTCGAGAAGTAATTTATGTATGTACAGTACAGAGCAACTCATAAAAAAATATGCACACTGCCTAAAGTTTCTGTGAAGATTGTATTACAACAGCAACATTGTCCTCACTTGTTGTAATACCTATACGAGCATTTACACGACCTTCACAAAAATGTGGAAGGTAGTGTACAGGTATACATTTTTCTGAGATACCATACTGGTACATGTAATTGGTAAAATAAGTATACCGACTATCCCAAGGTAGTATACCACAGGTATATGTACATAGTTTTTGCACAACGGTTCACGTTGTTATGCATGGTGGGGTGCTCGATACATCATGATGTGCCTTGAAAGCAGTTTTCAATGACTAATGTTTAAGGAATTTAGCTATTCGGACAAATCCCTGTGCATGCTGTCTTAAGTTTGGAGTAAAGGTTAAAAAACAGCCACTTTGGTTTTGCCATTGGCTTGAGTCATTTATTCATGATGCCAATTTGCCTTTCCCTTGTGTCATAAATCCTCCCTTTAGGATCCTGTTCTGAATATTTATGCTAAAGATGAAGTCATGACACATGGGAAGAAGCAAATACAATACAGCACAGTACAGTATATGTAAATATATATACATGTTTATTGAGTACATGTAATATAGCTCTATTATACATAACAAAACTTAGGTAGATCACATCTTTACAGCAAACATTGGAATTAAAATAGCACATAAATTACTGAGATTTACTTTAAATTGGAGACCAGTTACAAAATAACTTTAGCTTCAAACATTTCCTATCTGTAAAGTGAACCCTACTGTTATGTCACCAATTCCCATAAGAAAACAACCAAGCAGATTTCTTTCCAGTTTGACACACTCATGTGGGTTATATGTGGAGATCTGGAAGTATAAGTCTTAAGGTAATCAAGAGCATGGTACATAGGAGACGTTGCACCATATTGGCTCGGTGAACATTTTATTACTTGGCCCCGGCCCGTTGGCTGTCTGGCTTCTAAAATACAAAAGCATTATTACGAGATTGTTTTTCTCATCCAAATTTATGGGAAGAAACATTAAATTGGACTTTTTTGCATCAATAAACTTTATATACTTCATAATATATACAAAATATATTATGAAAACGGTCAAATTTATGAGGCTTTTTTTCTGACAAGTGAAAGTCAAGATTACATTGTAAGTAAAGTATAAAATACTTAATGGCATAAAATTCAGGAATTAGAAAAGGAAAAAAAAACCATCAGACAGAATCTACAGGCATTGATAAAACTATATCTTGATCACTTTAGAATGACAGCTGACAAGATGACCAACTGGGGAGAGGTAAGTGGTGCTACCTCTCCTTCTATGTACAGTATCCTTGATCAAAAGTAGCTCAATGGTCGTAATAAGTTATAAAGGCCACAGCCCAAGAAGTAAATACTGAACATGTGTGAGCAATATGGAAGAATTCTGTATAATATAATTTTTTTTTTCTTTTGGCGTTGGTTGCTGACTAAGAAAAGGTTAATACTATATCCCTAACCACATCAGTAAGGGATTAAAAATGTACAAACATAAGAAAATGTACATAATATACACCGGATATACTCATTGAAGAATATGATAAATTATGAACATGTCAAAGAATAAATAATCACTACATCTGATGCTTGATTTTCCTAATAATTTTGGATAACTTAAAAATCAGCCGAAACTCTATGATGACCAGTTAGTACTGTTCAACAAAGCTTAGGGTTGTTGTTTTTTTTACAAAGTCTGTACAATTATGAGAAGTTCAGTAAGTTTGAGTAAATAACTTAGACAGGAAGTTCAAATTTAACATCAATATTTGCAGCTTTGGCGAGGGTAACAATGTTGGAGAGCTTGACCGCCATCTTGGCAGCATCATCAAGATTGTCACAAGGGAGAATTCTGAGGTTGGACATTGCAATGAGTGCTTTAGCATCATCTACATTTGTACCCTGTAAAGAGAGAGAGAATGATAGTAACACATACATATGGCCTTGATTTTGCATTACTGTATAAGAGACTTCACTGTCCACCATGTACACAGAAAGAAGAACAAAAAATCTCTACTAGCCAATTAAATCAAGGATAAGGTTTTTGTACACTACAGTACAACATGATGACTTACCTGAAGTCGCACCACAATAGGAATTTTAAGAGAGAGTTCCTCAGCTGCTGCAATGATGCCCTGGGCAATGACATCACAGCGCATGATGCCACCAAAAATGTTCACCATTATAGCATGAACCTGAAATTAAAATTTTTACATTTCTTCTTCATAAAAATATTGTCATGACTCATGTCTTCAGAGCCATATTTGTACAAGGCATTTCACAGTGCAGGTTCACATTATACAGGCATTCCCAATCTACAAAAGGGTTCCTTCACATTTTTTGTATGTAATAGATACGTGCCACAAGTTTTTTTTTCTTAACTTTCTGATTTTGTAAAACCAAATTTTTGTAAATTGGGGACTGCCTGTATACAGTATGTGGATGCAGGGGTGGGTGGGCATGGGTCATCAGCTGATTAAGGATCTAGGATAAAAAAGGTCAAATTCAAGTAATTACTGTAGTATTAATTAATCATTAAGCTGTGGAGTACAGTACTTTTGTAAGAAAGAGGAATAACTTCATAGAAGAGAGAAAGAGAGAGTTAGTTTATCTTACCTGTGGATCAGCAGTGATAATTTTGAAGGCCTCCTTGACCTGCTCCGCTGTTGCTCCACCACCAACATCTAAGAAGTTTGCAGGTGAGCCCCCATGCAGCTTGATGATGTCCATTGTAGCCATGGCCAGTCCTGCACCATTCACCAGGCAACCAATACTGCCTGTTAAGTTTTGGTACATTAAATATTATAAAATGTAATGCCCACCACATATGGAGGGGCATTTAATTTTTCTACCCTATTGTTAAACCAAAAAATGGCAAGAAAATTAATTTGACTGGGCCCTGGGACTGAATGTGGGCCAACAGAACAGTACTACACTGGCACACTAACTACTCCCCAACCAAGGCAACTGCTTAACTATACATGCAGAAGATACTGTCTCCTGCACTGACATTCTGTAAATCCTAATGTGCCTCACCTCCAACTTAACTTGTTTCTGTGAGTTTGGTAAAATTTCCCATTCGCAATACAGTATTTATATCCTCTTGCTTTCTTTCCTTTCTCAAATTAAAAATGCCAGATAACATAAATCATTAAATTTTATACTTCTATTTTAATTTTGTCATATTTTTTTTTTTGCAGGGGAGATAAGTAGTATCAATAATTCGTTGTGGCCAGACATATGAATGGAGAAGCTGATGTGAACAATATCAGTAAAATACTGACCTGTACAGTAATAATCCTTAATCTATGAATACCTGTACTGAATGTCCAGTTAAGTGAGTTCAGCAGGCAAAGTTCCTTTATCAATACTGTACTGAATAAAATATTCTCCCATCAAGACTAAGATCATCTGAAAATGTTTTCAACTGAAGTTCTATGGTTTAACAATGAATAAAATGTAAAATATTGTTTGATCAGCCTTTCCTCGGTACTTGTATGTAATGTTGTTTGTAGAAGGTAATACTGTAGTGTATAAAGGAAAGATATTGCACAAACAGAAAATAATTATCAAATGACTGAATGCTGAATCAGATTTACTACAGAACCTGTTTATAAAAACCTTATGATAATTTATTTTTACTTTTCTGCTTTATAGTAAGGCCTGAATGTCAATTGTTTCTGATATAGAAATAGAAATGTTACTTTCTGCTTATATAAAAATAAACATCTACAAATACAAGTAAATGCTCTTACACACTTTCAACCAACACACACACACACACACACATGCATGCGCACACACACTACACTGAATGTGAGAAGTCGCATACAAAAATACAGTATTTAGATCAATCTTTATAAAACACATCATAGTTCCCAAACCCCATACTGTATTCAGATACGCAATCTCGAGCAATAATCTCTGTACAGGAGAATTCACCCTGGGGGAGCTCAATCCTCTACTCAGACTCGGCCTTTTGTTTGTCATCATAATTTGGGTTGGGAGAATTTTGACAACAGTATAATTATCTTACAGTATTTTGTACATCACCTCTCACACTCATGTCTTCTCCAACACACAGTAACAAAACAAATGTCATGGTAAATCTTATAAATTACTGACACACACACCACGTTGAACACAGACGTCATATGAGCACTACCCTAACTACATGCTGGCTATGTGTTGACCTGTTTATTAAGGGAGTGAGGGAAGGCGGTTAAAAGAATACTATTTAATGAGGGCAAGTGTAAAGGAGACTTGCCAGATTAACGTAAAAGTGGTTTACTTTTCACTACAGCCAAATAATAACTCTAATATTTATGTAAAATCCTAATAAGTGTGTGTGTGTGTGTGTAAGTCAACTGCAAATGTTTTCATCTCGCAGGACAATCTTTATCACTGAAGTTGCTACGGTCAACTGGCAAAATGTTGGGAAAAACTATATATTTCCTACAAAGTGCTCTAATGCATAGAGGAAACAGATCAGACCTTTACTAAGTGCATACAAACCATCTAGAGCAATGTAGTTCAAGTTGAACTTTGAAGCTTCTACTTCTTTAGCATCTTCCTGTGACCAATCCCGTTCATCAAATATTTCCTTCTGGCGAAATTCTGCATTGTCGTCAAATCTCATCTTAGCGTCAAGAGCGTACACTGTATGAAAAGAACTCAGTTTTAATGTCTTACTTCATAAGACTGAAGCAAACGGGGAATTATATCTGAAAATCTAAAAATGCATTAATATAAAAGGTGGAAATAACACACCAAAAGATTATATCAGAGAAAACTCATATAGCTCTATTACTGTACTTCTACATTTGTGAACTGGATCAAAGGAAACAGAAAAATCAAGTAAATAGCCATAAGGGAAAAGTAATACAGTAGTACAGTAATATTCATTTCCATAATAAAGCTTCACTGCAAGTCATGAAGCTGAACCATCGAGCTCATAATAAGACTAAAACAAATGAAGTGACTTAACTGTACAAGACCCATAATTACTCTTCTAGAAATACTGTGTTACATCTCTTGTAAAACTAAGGAAAAAATTTAACAATGATGATTGAGGTAAAGTTCTTCCCAAAAGTAAGACTCGTATCCACTTTCCCCCAACAGTACAGTACAATACTTACTGTTGCCATAAGTATCCTCAGCGTAAGGATTAATTTCTATCAAAGAAGCATCGTAGTCAATAAAAGCATTATAGAGACACTTAATGAGATTCACAGTTTCCTCCAGACGAGTCTCGAGGCCCAGTTGTAGTGCAAGTTCTTGTGCCTTCTCATCAGTCACACCTGAGGAATTAAAGAATTGGTCAACTCATACACAGTGTTGGAGAGATGTCCAGTCTTCTACACCTTAAATTTTTTTACATTTATCTGGCCTTATCACTAACAACCATTGAACAAAAGGGACAACCATTATCATCAGTTCTTAATGCGTAGATATTCAGTTTTTCTTTACAGAAACATCAAATTTTTTTTATCTATTTCTTTTGCCTACTTTGCCTCACCTGCCTTCAAGATTGACTGTAAAAGGTACAAGGTGGAAAAACATTGACATGGCTACCATCTATGTAGAGAGCTGCACACACCTACTGTATACCCATGAGACACCATCTTGCTTTAGGTGTTGTGAGAAAAGTCTTACCAAACATTCAAGTTCTTCCTTACCTTCAATAATATCAATGGGAACTTTAAATATCGCTCCAGGATCCTCTTCTGCCACCTCTTCAATGTTCATACCGCCCTGGGATGATGCGATGATGACTGGTCCCTATAAATTGTGAAAAATATTATTTATCCAATCAGTAAGACCAATTAAAATGCATTATATAAATATATATATAAAATGTAAGCAAATTTTCCACACCAGGAACATACGTTTGTCTCCTTCACTTACACCATATGAGCGCTCCATCATGATGGCAATGTAAAACTCACGACGTGGGAATTTTCGTTCACAGACCATAACCTTGTTACATGGGACTCCCTTTTCTCCAGTCTGTTTAGTCACAAGTTGATCCCCAATCATCTTTGATGCTACATCTCCAGCCTCTTCTGCACTGTTCAAGTGTCAAGAGATTGGTAACTTTAAAGTACAGTACAGTATATACTGAAGCTACATACAGTCCAGCAGTACTGTACAGTATTTTGAGTATTGGTCTATACTTTTCAATGAAACTAAAAATTATGTTTTATATACCGGTATACAGTATATGACTACAGCCATTCCCAATGAATTAATTTTAATATAATAATCTTATGTACAATACTGGGGAGTAACTAAGTTGACAAGGATAATATTAATAAAGACATTATTATAGTACAGTACATGATCTTTATGTTTTGGTTTTAAAATTCCATTTCTTTTTAATCTACAGATAACAAGTAAAAAAAATGTTAAGGATAAACCTTTAGACTTCTAGAAGCTGAGAACTGTACACAAAAAAGTACCAAAATCACACTGGCAGCAGTAGCCATTAAAAGATAAAATAATGTGCAAAAAGATACTTACGAATAAACCAATTTCACACCTCCTTTAAAACCGCCCTTGAAACTACCCTTTCCCCGTCCACCAGTGAGAACTTGAGCCTTGATGACAACATCGGTCGAGTCCAGCTTGTTGGCAATATCAACAGCTTCCTCAGGAGTGTGAGCCACACCAAACCCAGGAACAGGAATACCCGCTTTCCTCAACAGGGAGAAGCTGACATGCTCGTGAACATTTAAGTTACGCCTCTGCTGGACTCCAGCGAGGGGTGCAGCTGCTGCACGGCTCACCAACTGTTGTATTATAAAAAAAATTAAACACTGTAATCTGTAAAAAAAAAAAAAAAAAAAACTTATAATGAATTAGTGATACACATTCAACAATTTCAAGTTTTCATTCACAACAAAAGTTAACCTCATTTTATTTAGAATTATCCAAATACAGTATTTACAGTATTGTATTTTAGTGATAAGTTTTCTTCACGTCTCTGTTATGCACTGTTGACAAGTACAGTACTGTACTGGCTCCAGGATGTAATTGTATCTGCTCCAAGTCTGGTGATGAATGAGCTCACACTTGGTGACATCACAACACTTTTCTAAAGCAAAATGTCCCTAAAATTTCAGGTTGACCTGTGCTACTGTTCTAGAGTATTACCTTTGATTGGTAACAGCGCTCAAATTTGGACAATCCAACAAAAGAACATGAGACTGGAGGAAACAGCAGCGGGCCCATACTAGACAGCTCCTTTATCGCTCATATATCCGCCCAACATATATTTGAAGCTACCCAGCGAGTTCAAGTTAATGATGATATTTGGTAACTTGTTCCACTCATCCACTTCTCTATTTCCAAACCAGTGTTTACCTATCTCGTGCCTAAATCAAAATTTGGCTATTTTAAAACCATCGCTAAGAGTTTACTCCTGGTTAGAAGTTTTGGTAAATTTATAGTATCACACCAGTCTTTATTTTGATATTAAAAATAGGTTTTTCCTCTGTATTTTGATGAGTTTCGAGCGAATTTGATATTCATTTCCACCGGAAATCACATGTTTTTTAGATACCACCACCCCCCCAACAATCTTAATGGAAAAAGTTGGATTTCTTTTATAGAATAAATAAATTATATTACCAACCAACCAGGAAAACCTAACCTAACCCTTTGTTCATGCCCCAGACGCTTTAAGAGCGAAGACGGAGGCCTGGAGCGATGCGAGAGCAGGGTTCAGACCACCTCCGCCATAAGTATACAAACCATGGAAACACTTGTGACTGAGCGAAGTAATAATATTGAAAAATTAATATCTTGGTTTCCTTAATTTCCGGTGGAAATATCATAGAAAAAAGTCTTGGAATTGTGTAAACATTACGATACATATTTTTAATAAGAACATAAGTACATAAGAAAATAAGGAGTCTGCAATAGGCCGGTTGGCCTGTGCATGGCAGATCTTGTTGAGAGTTACTACCACTCTCTATCATCCATGAATCTATCTAGCCTCCTTTTAAAACTTTCCAGCATTCCAGCACTTATTACAAAGTTGCTAAGATTGTTCCACTCGTCCACCGTCCTATTTGTGAACCAGTTTCTTCCTATCTCCCTCCTAAACCTAAACTTATCCAACTTAAATCCGTTGCTACGAGTCCTATCCTGCTCGGATATTATAAGAACTTTATCTATATCTCCTTTATTGATTCCTTTCACCCACTTAATGCTTCTATCATATCTCCCCATACTCTTCATCTTTCTAGGGAATGCAAGTTTAGTTTCTTTAACCTATCTTGATGAAATAAAGACCAGTGTGATATTATAAATTCACTAGTTTTAATTTACAATTTGTAAACCCACAGCTTCCCTGCTTCACAGTCCACCCAGCTAACAGGAGTACACCACTGCAGGAGCATCACCATACATATATTGTGCTTGTTCTCCACTATACAACACCAATGGTGAAATGATCAATTAAAGACAAGTTTGGCAATAATATTTAACACAAAAATTCATATTCATAAATAAGGGTCCTCTTCAGCCTAACCCAACTGGGTTAATATAAACTGCAATATGAGGTTACATAAATTAATTAAATGTCTCAACTTTTATTGAATATTATCGAGTTGCAGCTTCTTAATTCTCATCTAGTGCCTGACTCTCTACCTCCCTTTAAACAGTGTTAACTGTATAGTACACTCCTGTGGTCATAATTTAAGATATTGTGATAAACCCTACAAGTATCTCAAATATTGATCTCTGCTCATAGTATTGTCACGGCTCAGATGTTGCACTTGCTGTAGTATTAATGATTTAACACCACACGGCTTTTATATTTCATACCAAATAAAGATCTTAACTTAAATCCCCCCACAAGTAAAATACTTGCCAATCAATGAACTTAATTAATGGTTATATGACTATGATATTATACCTGGGCTCCATTCCTGGCTAAAAGTTTCTCGGCGAAGAGAGCTCCCCGGTACATCGCTGCCGCCATGTTGCCTGATCAGCTGAGACACCGAGAGAGACATCTACTCGGCTGGGACCTTTAAAATCCTTCATAAACTTCTACCATAAGCATCCCCAACTATAAAATTACTCACTGTAAAAATATATTATTAATTCTGTATTATTGTATATAACCACCTGGATTTATATGTATTTTCATCAAATTCGTTTTCTTTGATTGCCAATATATATATGTATCAGTTATAATTGCTCGTATCGAGTTATTTAAGAAAAACGTAGTGTTATCTGGACGAAGGACATATTAAAGTATTTTTCTTTAATTATTTACATCAACTCAGTCTGATGCAAGACTATCATATGGCCAAGTAAAAGTGACGGGGATTCTAAAAACAAATTCAGTTGTCACCCACCAAACTGTTGCTACCATACCATTACCCTAATCTATCTTGTCTCAAAATTTTCTCCCTAATCTATTTTTTTATTAAACTCTTATAACCATTTTCAGTATTTTTATTATTTCATTTTGCTTTCCCATTTAAGTGTTGTTTTTATTCTTCCACAATGCTAATTTTTCAGCTTTCATATTATATTTTTGTCTCCTAATTGTTCTCATTTTATCTAATCTTTTTGACGTTTCTACTCTATACCTATTTTCATTCTATTCTTAAAATGTCCTTTTCACTTACATTGTCTTTACGGTATATACTGTATGATGAACTGTACACTGCACTCTACCTACCTTGTCTATATACATGCTGATCCAATTGTAAACTGTCCCTGAATTCAACAGTGTTTGAATTAAAGTTGTGACACTTCCTTAACTCTGTACAATCTGGGCGCTGTATGAGTATAGGAAAAGGATCGGGCAGCAAGAGAACATCCCCGTACTGCTCGAGGGAATTTCACAGTTCTTTAATTGGTTTTGACAAATAGTAGACTGGAGAAAGGTTTTAATGGTCTTACCACCCAGACATTGTCACAAGCAGTGTGCAGAAGATGAAAGTTTCTCCTAAAGATACATTACACTTTTATTTTATATTGAAATATGGTAGTGTAGGTTTTCTTCATACCATGAATACTTTTTAACAAACTTTTTCACATAATATGAATTTCCATCAATGCCTGTGCTCCTAAACTTCAGACCTGTTGCAAAGTTATCAAAGGTAAGAGAAGGAAGGTGTAGTTTAAAAGCAGATCTTTATATACAATTTCCAGGAAATACCCGGTATAAGGAAATAAGCTTTGGGAAAGTCCTCATGTTCAGTCATCTTTTATTGCAGATAATAGAAACTTCTTAAAAATAACAATTTAATCAACAGGTATTTTCACTTCCAGATGACATTTTTCAATAATAAACAATAAATATAATTATCAAAATTCTCTTTACATATAGTGTGTGTGTGTGTGAGTGTGGACAATCATTTAAAATTCTTATGTCTTCTCTGACTAGTGAACTGGTTGATGGCTTCCAAAAGTGATGCAGGAGTTCTGGAAGGAACTGATTTCGCAACTTTCAACAGCAATTCCTCGGAGATGGCGACACATTCTTGAGAATCTTGTGTACTTTCAGTTTGTTCTATGTCTTGCACAGTGAGTTCTGTGATGGCTGTGTGTGCTGCCTCTTGATATATGGCAGTTATCTGTGAAAAAGAGTTACTGTATTACCTTAAATATTACCTTTATATTCATATTACAGTACAGGTATAGTAAAATAGATGTCCAGAATAAGGACGGAAATGCATAGAGTTAAGGAAACACGAGCCACCCTATGTACTGTGAGAGAGAAGCTACAAGACAAATACAGATCCACCAACACACAGTCGACCTTAAACCTATAAAGAGTTACCTCAGCTCCTGAGTACCCAGCTGTTGCTTCACTCAACTTCTCGATGTCCACCTGACCTTTCAGTGGTACATCCTCAAGTATGCCTTTCCATATTTCACATCGAGACTTAAAATCAGGCAAGTCAATGTGGATAACTTGTTCAAGGCAACCTGGTCTCAGTAAAGCCTGGAAAAAAAATATTCAGCAGTTTGTTACACAGTACAATTCTTAACCTAAACTCATACATCTTCTTCAAGAAATATAAATGACTATAATTTACAATCTCATTAACTATATTTTTGCAACAAAATCTGAATTTGCATATTTGTTATTAATCATACTTCTACTACACTCTCCTGTCAACATAAATCATTTGCATGAATAACATTCTTGATCTCTCATTTTTCATTCATTTTAAAAATAATATTTTATAATGTTATTTTTGTTTGTCATCATTCCCAACTACAGGTCTGATTCAGCATCATTTGCTGTTAATATGTACACTATCAAGAGTATAACAGGGTAGCTAATATAAGTGTCCAAGCACAGTTACCTCATCTATTGCATGAGGTCTATTAGTAGCTCCAATTATCATAATGTTTCCATAAGGTGCCGTCTGTGCCATGAGGGAGAGGAGCTCTGACACCAGGCCACCGCCGCCCCCACGATCACCACACAAACTGTCCACTTCATCCATGAATATGATGGCAGGAGCTGCTTGTCTGGCCCTGCTGAACACTTTGCTCAGAGATTTTTCTGTTTCACCAACAAACTTGGATAATAAATCTGAACACTGAAACCATAGGATCATTAAGGAGATAGTACAACAATAAACTAAATTGTCTGGTATCATTAATTCTAACAACAAGAAACACTTCACTACAATAAACATGAAATTAAGTACAATAATAAATATGTTAAGGTGACTGGTATAGCTGTAGGGACTCGGATCATTCACTCACACACCAAGTAAGAATTATCAATATGAATATGACAGATATTGTAAAATTGTAATGTAGTGACATTATGGGTATACAGAACTGAGTTATCCTGACCTCCAGATGTACAGACTTTGACGGGATAACTATACAGAATTGTATACAGTGTGGCATAAATATATATATATACCTGTATATACATATAGTCTTACTAATCTTTTAACTAAGCTTTTAAATACATTATATCATTATAATAAGTAAACATGACACACCTTGAGAGGAAAAAAACTGAAGCTTGTTTCATGGACCAATGCCCTGACAAACATGGTCTTGGAGCACCCTGGAGGACCATAGAAAAGAACTCCTCTCAGTGGATGTTCCTCAGGTTCATTAATGTGCAGCTGAATCATTGTCTAAAATGAGGAAATAAATTAGAATACAGAACACAAATACTGGTAATAATATTTAAAAAATATATATATTTGATAGAGCAGTCAGGAAATTAAATTAGTACAAGCAGAAAAAGTGAATGTCATACAGAGACTCAAACATCAAAGAAAAAAAAATAGCAAAATAATAAAGAAGTCCCAAGAAATGAAGACCCACTGAGAACTTCAAAGATAAAATAGGTGATGACAAGAGGAAGGATGTCAAGAATAAGGAACACAAATACTATATGAGGAGCTACAGCTGAGAGAGAGAGAGAGAGAGAAACATACTTCAGGAGGCTTTTAGTATATACACCTGTATAGTACAGTACAGTATAGTGAAATAAAAATGAGAAAAATGAAACAGGACAATATGAAAACTTAACTTACCTGTAACTTAGATCTGACTGTTTGGTATCCCCATATATCAGACCATCTCACCTGTCAAGCAAAGTTCAACATTACGTACAACTCTGTTAAAAGTGGCAGTCAGCTGGACAAACTTTACTTGTATATCCGTGCTGCACTTCAATTTAGGATATACTGTATTGTACAGATAAAAAATAAGGGAGTTTTTCTATTAAAATGATATGGTATAGGTATCTGTTGCTACCATGATCCACTATGGAGGTAAAGTTTAGCAAAACGCTGATCATTGACCAATACCTGTACTCACATACTGTGCATATAACTGTCATAATAATGTATCTATGATGGAAAACTGGAATATGGCAAATGAAATACAGTACTGTAAAAAGGTTTAGAAAACAACGAAGAAGAAAAAGCATATTTTTACAATTGTATATAAAGTTGACTACACAGGACAAAGAGGTGTCTGGGGTGGGTAAATATACTTGAAGCTACTCTGTATTCTGTAGTGGCTAAAGCTCACAAAACTCTACTTCCATCATTGTAAGTGCATAAGGATAGAAAGGCAGCCAACAGACCCGAGGCTCAGCTGCATAATATAAGAAATACAGTATTCTCACATTGATATAAAAAGGTACAGCTCCTTTGTATTTATGACATTATGTTTACTAAACTTGATAATGGACCAAACTTACTGTAGACACAGCTGAGTAATTCTGTCTCAACATGGTTGGCACAATGCTCTTTAGGCCATAAAGCAAATCTTCTTTGGATAGGCTGAGCTCTTCTGTCCTCTGTTGATGAGCAGAATTATTCTGGAGGAGGAACACAGTATGGACAGAAATGTAGAAAATTTGTCAAGAAAAACGTTAAGATTTTTATTCACACATAAACATGCATGCACAAAATGGCTATCATTATTTTTAATTCAAAAAAATTTCCAACTAGTGTGACTGAGTATAGTAAAGTATATTGGATGAAGACATCAAGCCTACACAGATAACAGAATAACTCCCACTATGAATATAAATGATCACTGACCCATCCCGAGACATTAATTTACACCATATGTAGTCTAATTGAAGCTCCAGTACTGGTCTTGTGAGTTTGTAATAACTAAAGTCAGGAGCACATTGGAGAAAATACTATGGCAAGCATTTACAACACTTCCTCAGTCTAAGCGGCTGAGGAGTGCTGCAGTCAACCCTACCCTGGTGACCAGTCTTTACCCTTACAAAAAAAAAGTGTGATACTATCTTACAGGGGTACAGTACTGTAGCCATGTAGCCAAGCTTTCCTGTATTTTTCCATGAAAGATCTGTTTTGTTTTTCAATAAGTTATCTCCTTCTGGCTAGACACACCAAGCTGACGGTGCATTACAACTACAGTATATCTTAACAACACCTCAATACTGTACTACAAGCTTTCTTCAAGTATGCCCAGGGGATGGGACACCACAGCTCACTAGTATACAATACACAACACTGGTAACCTTATTATTCAAAGTCTTCCACCTACGACAACAATCTTAAATATGAGAGGATATGCTATAAAAGTACATTTTATATTTCAAATGGATTATATCTTACCTCTTTATCTAACCTTTCCACACAACTGAGCCAAGAACATCGAAGCAGAACATTTAAATCGGCTCCAGAAAATCCATAAGCTCTCTTGGCCACCTCCGTCACCTCTTCTTTACCAAGTCTGTGGTAATGGGATGACAGCAACTGATGTAATATATTGAGTCTTTGTTGAGCATCTGGCAATGGCACCATCAACTCTCTGTTAAGTCTACCAGAGCATCTCAACTTTGAGGTAATGCCATCTGGTCTGCTTGTGGCAGCAACCAATAGCACTGGCTCTGAAGATGTCTGCAAACAAAATCTTTACTTTTTATTCTTACAATGTGCCACACAGTACAGTACTGCTATAAGAGCATCTGGAGGTGATGGAACTGATAACAAAAGTTAAGCTTTGTAGACCATTTTCCTTTAAAGGCCTGATAAGAATAGGAAAAAGTGGCTCAATGTCTCTTGTTTAAGGAATATGACAAAGGTAATATTTACAAAATATTTTGCTAAATAACTTAGTAGGTTCACAAATTACCATTTTACTAGTATCTATGACACTCATATCTCTGAGGTAATCAGCAATATTTGATAATCTATGACATTGTAAGCCTGTGGTTGTCTTAGAGAGGTTGAGCAGTAATGAACAGGGACACACATCACAGAACTCACCTGCAGTGTGTGGATCCCTTGCACAATGGCAGGTATCAGATCTCTGTTGCCCTGTGCCTTGTGTTCACCAGCAGGACACAGGCTCTCTACTTCATCCAGAAATAAAACTGATGGTGCACTGTATGGAGAATATTTAGGCCTCTATTATCTCAAACTTCATCTAGAAACTATTTGGGATATTTTATTTCTATTTTACCAATACGTATGTAAAATACCTGTACAGTACTCTACTTCTTAAGAACATATTACTATTGTCAGTCAATAGTAATTTACTTAAAAGAATAGCCATAATGGACAGTGTCGGCACTGCTTGGAACTTAATCCTAGTTTACGTTACAATATGTATTTTAAATCAGAACCTCAATTATGCTGTGCCAGTAAGTTTTAAATCACCTTTATATACCTGTATTGTATTTATCTATCCCCAACTTTATATTCATGAAAATCCATTGGGAACATAATCTCACATTTAGATGGGTGTTTACTGTGAAAGAAAAGACATGTATCAAATTCAGTCAACATGAAAGGAGACTCAGTAAGCTAACCTTTCACTTGCCAATTTAAATCTCTGACGTACACATTGGTCACCGCCTCCAGATGATCTTGTTATATCATTGAGAGTTAAGGTGACCACAGGGACGTTCATCTCCTCCGCTGCCTGGTGAACCATGAGAGTCTTGCCTGTCCCTGGTGGGCCGTAGACAAGAACACCACCCCAACCTCCAAGTAGTGGGTTGTCTACAATAGATATTACACACCACGTACAGTAAACCATGATGTGGTACATTGGAGCGGGTACAAGAATAACAAACACTACATTCTCTTATATAACCTCTGATACTACAATTAATTCTTTAAGATAGAAACAAGGAAGATGCCAATTCTAATTTTTTTTTCATATACTGTATCATAGAATTTTGGTTATAATCACAGTAAAGCAATTGAAAGGAGAAATATTTACTTGCAAACACGGAATCCTTCAGTTTAATCTGCATGATCTTGAGTAATGTAACATATGCTGTGTCCTTGCAATATGTCTCCTGTTGCAGCTTCACCTCGGGGGAATCCTTGGTAACAGTGCTGTATAAACGCTGCACTATGACCTTTGTGTCCCTACCAATTCGAATCCATCTACTGCACTGTTGAGAACCATCGGTTGCTCCAGTTTCTGACTTGTCATTTTGGATGGTTGAAATGTCTTTGTTATATACCTTTGATGTAAGTAGTGACTTGTATATGTTTTTTTTATTCTCATTTGATTTCTTTGGTGTAGACGTTAACATATCGGACTCCAAATTGCTCACTTCCATTGAATCCCCGGTCCGGATTTCATCGAGTGTTACAAAAGCACTGCTTGTGTCAGATCCCGAGAGGTAAGGTCTCGGGGAGCAGTCTGTGAGTGATGTTTCGGATCCGACACACTCGTCCAGTGTCAAGAGCTCAGATGGAATACTTTCACTTCTTCCTAAGACAGAATCATCACTATCTCTGCTACTTATATCTAGATTTTGTAAATTTTCAATCAAACTATCTTCCTTTGTCAGTGAATCTTCTCCATATACCTTACACAGGCTATAATTATTTAGAGTGAAAGAATTATCTGTATTACAAGTTGAAGGAAGATAAACTTTACTACCAATGTTTAAAGTAAATGGTGCACCTAAAGGATAGTTACTGAATAGTAAACATTTTAACTGTTGTTCCATGAAGCTACACTCTTTTTCAATGAGGACCTTGCTCGGTGTCACCAACACTTCATCAGCATAAACAATATTTGTAATTTTCTTAATCCAAAGAAACTTGTTATGTGTAAGTGCTGGCAGATACTGCAGACAGCCTGAAAATGTAATTAAATAATCAAATAGTTGCCTTTGCAGCCAAGAAACTATAATATAAAAAAAGATAAAATTATAACCTCAGCAACCTGTATGCAGTTTATACATCACCAAAAGTGAACCATAAATATTTGACCATTTTATCTTACTCTTGTGGTGTAAGGTGACATGTCCAATCCGCACAGTCTCATCAGGAATGGCGAGGAATGCACAGGAGTTGGAACCACACTTCACCTCCACGGGACTATAGGCACACACGTTGCAGCGAATCAAGTCTCGCTCATTCATCAGAACTATTCGGTAATGGAAGCCATAAAAGATCTTCTTCAGCCAATCTGGAGAATAAATGATAAATTGGAAGGAAGAATCATAGTAAAACACATCTATTACAACAGTAGGAATGAAAGAATGATATTAAATAGACAGATAATATAAGTGTGTATGTGTTTATTTCCCTCCACCTTATACTGAATGGGAAAAAATATGACAAGATAGCAATATAAACTGGCTGTTTCCTCCCACTACTACACAGAGCCTCACACTCTAATACAGTGGTGCAGTACAGTACTATATAGTATTGATCTCTTTCCTTCCAAAGCCAAGTCATGTACGTCTCTCCCTCTAGTGTGTTCTCTCCCTCCAACAATCTATCTCTCCATCAGGTGTGTTCTCTCCCTCCAACAATCTATCTCTCCATCAGGTGTGTTCTCTCCCTCCAACAATCTATCTCTCCATCAGGTGCGTTCTCTCCCTCCAACATCTATCTAGGTGTGTTCTCTCCCTCCAACAATCTATCTCTCCATCAGGTGTGTTCTCTCCCTCCAACAATCTATCTCTCCATCAGGTGCGTTCTCTCCCTCCAACAATCTATCTCTCCATCAGGTGTGTTCTCTCCCTCCAACAATCTATCTCTCCATCAGGTGTGTTCTCTCCCTCCAACAATCTATCTCTCCATCAGGTGCGTTCTCTCCCTCCAACAATGTGTCCTCTTGAGCCATTGGACCAGTGAACTCATACCTCTCTCTTGGTCTTGATGTGTTAAAGAAGAAGAAAACACTTGGCAGAACCTACATAATGGCTGCCTTTAAGTTGTCGTTAAATAAGACAATAAGAGCAAATAATAAAGGCACCTACCTGGCTCTTCCAGTATGGTTTTGTTACCATCCAGTTCAGAGTTTTCCTGAGAACTTTTGTCACCCTCTTTGTTCCTCTCAGTTCCCTCATCCTTCCCTTTTTTGCTATTTTTCTTTTCTCGATTTCCACTTCCTCTTTCCTTTACTTCTTTGCTCTTTATTTTCCTCCTTTCTTTTTCCTGTAGTGATGTTTGAACTGCTCCAGTTGTTATTATTTGACCATATAATGATGACCCTTAAAACATAAAAGTGCGTGAGATGGAGGTACAGTACAGTACAGTAGTGTGCATGTAGGAGTAAATACTGTAGCTACTGAACTTACTGACAACCTTTATGATAAAAACAGAGATACAGTATAGTATATAACTAATAAATATTGTCAGAAATTATCAAAAATTACGAAACACTGAGATATACCTGTACTGTATAGTAAACAGTGGGTAATTCATCGGGACAAATACAGACAACTCTACGTCAACATACAAAATTAACTATATTTAAAATAATTAAAAACCTGATAGCTATATTTGCATGGAGCTGACACTGAAAATAAAATATAGAATATTTACCATTACTTTATACTAAACTAGCTGTCTACCAGGAACATAGATAACCACAGTAGATATTACTCAAAGATATCCTTTATCTACAGTAACTTGCAGAGTAGTGTAGCATTTATCAGTCATACACACCAGTGACAGATCAACTTACCTACTACGTATGGATGAGAAAATGACAGGAGCCCTAATTCATGACACTCTGCTGTATGTATTTCTTTAGCATAATTTGGCACCCAGATATTGCACTTTAAGCAAGGAAAATAAGAGTCTGCATCTAACGTCCGTCCCATTACCTGAAATTTGAACGTCTGATTAGATTTACAGTAATGAAGTAATTTTTTTTAGGAAAAGGTCATAGTATAAAAATACAATATTGCACCTATATAACTGTAGTATTTTATATTAGAATAAGTTAAGTTAAGTTAGGTTAGGTTAGGTTAGGTTAGTTTGGTTAACTTTACGAACAACAAAATATTGATAAACCGTCTCGACAACAGCTAACATTCATGAAGTGCCAAATACTGTACTTCTACATTCTATAATTTATGGTTCATGAAATAAACTAAACTAACCTAACTTAACCAAACCAAAACACATGATCACCGTCAAGACAATATGGTGCACATGTGTCTGTTAACCCAATTGAGGCCAAAAGTAATAGTGGCAAAATTTCTCTCTCACAAATAACATAGTTGTTTATGCATTAATTTTTCGTTGATATCCTGAGATAAGAAAGCTTTAACATCCTATGGTTAATGTCAGACAGCGGGCACTGTACGTATAATATAGCTATTAACACTTTAAATACCCTTGACCAGCTACAACTTACCTGGAGACTATTTCATATATTTAATGACTTTACTGACCTCTAATCATTATCTTTTTCCCAGCTTCCTTCATTACCTTCCAATTGACCAGCTAGTGACGTCTAGTTCTCACTTCCTCTTAGTTGATTATTACCGCTATAAGCCTTTTGTCCGGTGCTAAATGATTTATAAACTGATTGATAAACTCTTGTTCTTTAGTACTCTTATTAGTAGCGGTTTAAATAAGGTAATTAACTCGCGTGTAGTTAAAGGACAGTAACACGTGCCAGGGTTGTTTACAGGGTGCAGTGACGTCATCAGTTGCTGGTAGGGGGCTCTAGATATCTGTCTATTTACCTATCTATCTAGTTATGAATCTATCTATCTATCTATCTATCTTTGTAGCAAGAAATAATTATTCATGTGCCTTCGACGTTTATGGCTAATTGACAAAAATTATTAGTGAGCTGTTAACTGCTGTTAGAAGTATTGGTAAATTTTTACAAGTGGACAACCATGAATTCTTTGTTGAACAATGTGTTTTTCCGATGTTTTAGACAATTTTAAGACACACCCTACCTCCCATCCACACACCCTACCTCCCATCCACACACCCTTCCTCCCATCCACACACCCTACCTCCCATCCACACACCCTACCTCCCATCCACACATCCTCTCTCTCATCCACACACCCTACCTCCCATCCACACACCCTTCCTCCCATCCACACACCCTACCTCCCATCCACACACCCTACCTCCCATCCACACACCCTTCCTCCCATCCACACGTCCTCTCTCCTATCCACACACCTTTCTTCCATACACCCAACCTCCCATCCACACATCCTCTCTCATCCACACATCCTCTCTCCCATCCACACACCCTTCCTCTCATTCACACACCCTGAGGTTTTTTTTTACATCTTTCAGATTGTGTGGCTCCCTGAGGTGAACTGCTGGTTGGCTGGCTCAGGTGAACCATTGAATGGATGAGGTGAACAGCTGGCTTCCTGAGGTGAATGGCTGATTGGCTGAGGTGAACGCCTGGCTGACCAAGAACTCCACCACATAGGTAAAGTATTTGTAACAATATGTAATGTCTATATACAAGTTATTTATGAACATTGTCTAAAACTTTTTATATTCCAGGTTTGTGTGGACCCAAACGAGGTGCTGCCTGGAGGTGGTAAAGGGGTTACAGGAAAAACTTATTTTTGTAATAGTAACATGCACCATAGTTAGAAGTAGATACACAGTAGTAACTCCGCCTTGTTCATCTGAACATGCCGGTCCCCAGCCCGGATAAAGGAGGAGGGCTACTGCAGTGTTGCATGATCACCGCCTCAGACTCTCTTTGCAGACACTTATAAAACAAGGTAGTGTCTTATTTTTGTCAAGACCAACAATGCAGTTATTTCAGCTTTTTATAAGTAGGTAGTATTGAAGAACTGATTCTTACGTACACCATACCACTTAATACGTTAATGTTTTGAGACCAAGTTTATATTTCTAAGATCAACCTTGTAGTTTTTTTGTACAGGTAATATTGAAAAAATAAAAGGAATTGTATATACAGTATCTTTTATTTTCATTTGTATACACTACAAATACATTACAGTATGCAATAAGTTCAGAAGTTCGATGGAAAGATTACACAATATCTTGTCAAATTGCCGAGGTACTTATAATTTACTAGCCATTCAGGTAGTATGTTCCCATTTAAAACCTACATTGTCTGTTAGTGCTAGAGAATAGAACTTGCAATGATTGGTAACTTAAGACTGGTTAACATCTTTATCATATCCCAAGAGAGACCCATTACCATCAATTCTTCTCTGCAGATACATCAGTGGTGGCAGGATGGTCATATCAAGTATTTTCCAATTATGTTTTTATTGTGGACTCCATAAGGTTAGGTTAGTTTATTTCACTAGACCTTAATTGTATTTTGTCATGTTTTGGTGGTTCTACACAAATCTTATCTAATAATGGAAGTCTATTTTACTAAATGTAAATAATTTTGCCTAAGCATAGTGGGCATTTCTAAATTTAAGTGATCATCCTTTTATTACATTCACCACTTGTCAGCTTATTAACCTTATTGGTAGTCAAGTGTATGGTTACCACCTTTGTCCAGTGAAGCTTTGTGGTGTCTAGGAATGATAGTTTTTAAAGCCAGTGTTAGTAAGGAATACACTGTACAATTTGATTTATTATGCATCATTCAACCATTTGACATCTTAATAGCCATTCAGGCAGTGTTTAGTTGGCTGGTCTTTATAATCTTAATTATCTAGTATTGGGAGAAGAAATCTGCAAGGTTTGCATCATGCAACACCATTTTCAACTGTCAGACCTGGGATTGAACACAGTAGTGTTGAGATACAAACATGACCAATGTACCAGCACCTCACAATATTCGTTTAAATTACAATTCCAGTCCATTTCAGAACTAAAATTTTAAACATGACCTTTGGTTCAGTCTCCAACATTTTGGCCACGAAGTCAATTTACCATTTGTATATTGTAGTTAATAGCAAGTTTAAACTTTTCTTTAGTACAATTCTACAAGGATTTATTTTCTAAATTTTTAGGTAAAATGGACATCATTGAACAGCTGGTGTGCAGTGTCCAGATTGTCAACATCCAGCAAGTACAATACCTACCTTACTTTACTTCTATGTATTTGTATAATCAAAGAAAAGTCGTGTCCCAGTTTTGTCCGAAGATTAAATATAATTGTCAAATATTGAGAGCCTACGAGGCAGAGCAGACCAAAAGTTTTAGCTCTTCTGCATATGTTTTCACGACCACTGTCTTTCTATTGTACATGTGTACATGACAATGAACAAATTCTGATCTTTGAATACTTGACAACCAAACTGCAGTACATTGTGTTCATTTTAACACCTGACCAAGGTATAGGAACTTTTTGTGTATCCACAATCAAGATCACATCTTGTGGGTGTCTTTAGTTTTGATTATACATTCCCAACAGATCATCACAGGCATTAGTTTGTAAGTTATACATAGGCTGGCACATGGATGTCAATTAGTAATAATTTTACACAGTAATTATATAGGAACTTATTACAGTACAGTAATTATACATAAGCCATTGCTATCTACTGTATTAGTGATATATAGTAGATGCTATCACGTGGTGTACAGTAACAAGTGATCACTTCATCACAAGAGGGTCATATACAGTACATTTGACTTTTGAGTATAAAACATGTCAAGCTTATTCAGTGTTTATTATTTTTTTATTCTATACAGATATTGTATAAAGTGTCGACCATTATAATCTTTCCATACAACGCCGCAGCTCAGTAACAAACGCTGTAACCAGTAAAACGCCTGCCCAGTAACAAACGCCGCACCAGTAACAAACGCCTCACAGCCCAGTAACAAACGCCCTGCTACATACTGAACAACAATTACATAATACACTTCATTTTACAAACCACTAGAAATAGATCCATTTGATTTATGTCCGTGTATCTCGTGTTCTACACCTTGATACCGCCTGTGGACAAAAATGGCATTATAAAGATGGACATTCTTTGCAACCACAACAATACTGTGGCTACCATGTGGTTGTTAATTATGCTATACATAATGTATCTAGCTATTTTTAATCCTTTGTGTGGCTTTAATCGAGGTTTACTTACACATTCTTGAATGCATTACTTCAAATAATTTCTCAAGTTCTGCTAAATTATATAGAAGAGGTTCAGTAATACTCATCTTTTACATGACACTATTCTTACAGTAGAGTACAGTACATCAAGGTGTGGTATGCTGGACAGTAGCATTCACCTTGCTGTAGTGTCTGGTCCATCTGTCTTGTACACCAACCACCTGCAATATGATTTTGAATTTAGATCAATCTTAATTAACCTTAATGTTTCACTACTGTACCAGTACACAACATTTACTCCAGAATTTTTTGGAATCTAAACTTGCAACGCTACATATATCCATACACTCGAACACCTCCCTATACCACCTTACACATGAGCATCATCCTTTCCTCCTCACTTATGGCTGCAGCAGTCTTCTCATAGGCATCATCCCCACATTCCTTCACAGTACATGCTATAGCATCACATAATTCTAACATGTTCTCTATTCACCATTATGCAGTACACCACCAGCCAAGCCAAGGAGGCAATTGGGGTACCGTTGGCAGCCAACAAGTCGTAAGAGGGTTGCTTTGATGTGTCTTGAAGTGAGGAAGGATGATGCTGACCGATGAACCTGTGTCGACAAAGATTTCATGCCAGAGATGTGGTCGGTGATATGCAGTAAAGAGGCGCCTGAAGTAGCGGAGGCTGTGGCGTCTACCAATCCCGTTGTTGCCGTTTCCCGGTAGGTGCTGGGGCTCGCAGTGTCGAGCATTGGCGCGGCGTCTGTGATACCAGCAGGGTAGATCCGTTGTGCTGGGGGCTGGCGGCGGTTTCGAGGCAGGAAGGAGGCGTCGGGTTTGTGGGGCGCGATGCGTGAGTCAGGAACAGGCCCAGCAGTAGACATGGAGGAGCAGAGCTGTTCAATGGTGTCCATCCTGCAGTTCAAAGTTTGCAACAGGTCCCTGATGTCTTGTGAGGTATTGTTAGGCTGAGGTGCTGACCCGGTTTACAAGTTCGGAGGTAAGTACTGGTGTGGTCGTTGGGTTGACCCGGCAAGGTGCGACAGCAGCGCGCACTCTCGTTGAATGTTCTGTCTGCCGAGGTTAGCGTAGAGTTCTGGTGTTTACATGGTACAGTGACATCATCAGTTGCTGGTAGGGGTTCACTGACATCATCAGATGGCAGGGGTCCAGTTCAGTCTCCTGTAGAAATTAATTAGGAAAATGAGTCTTGATAGCATTGTCAAGGGCTCTATCTGTTAATGATATTGTATTCAGAATAACTTTCCATTTCTTAATACTGTACAGCACAATGAGTGCAATTTATAATGGGTTATGGTAGTGCTGTTCTGTGTGTATTGCAGTCTTGTGTGATTTAAAAATTGCTCTTGTAATTTGTTTTGTTGATCTCTGGGATAGTGACCCCTGCCTAACTGCCTCCTGAGTAAGGGGGAGGAGGTCATCCCATAGCTCCTGGCACTGGCAGAAGGAAGATGGAGGTTGTGCTACAGGGTGAAAGGGTGCCACACAACAGTAGGTGTCCACAAGGATGCACTAACCATGGCTGCACGCCACTCTATCTGGTTCAAGGACACACACACACACACACACACACAGTCAATAAAAAATCATCTGAGTAAGTTACAGTGGACCACAAGCATGAAAACCCAGTTAACAAAATATTATCAACCCAAACCACAAGAATCAATTTCCCACTAAACAGATTTTCATTAGACAATTTCACCAAAAAATTTCTCACTTCCATAATACTAAAACCCATTGCATGTGTACTGAACAAACCCACTACACAAGTAACAAAATCTTACCTGCTGAAACTTTTATGAGCTTTTAAAGGAAACTTTCTGACAGGTCCATGATAAAAGTTACAGTATTGTGTATTACTCGTTTTACAGTTGTATTGCATTGTGTGGTGACTGACGTGTCTCTCGCCCGTGATGGTGTGGTCAACTACCCACTTCCTCGTCTTATTAAATATGACCAGCCTTGACCCCAACATATCCAAATTTCTACTGTAAGGACTCACGGGCCAACTAAAAGTTCCGGTCTGCCCGTGTGAGTGAAAATAAATGACCATGCAAGTGAAGAGTAGAAAAAAGGGTGTGATATACAAGTCAACAGACTGGCGTCAAGCCAAGTGAGAACATAATTATACAAACAAAGGATCGAGGTGTTGAATGCAATTTCAAGATAGTCACGTCAGATGTCGATGACTTGTTCATTAAACTTGGCATCGACCTTGACAAAATATAGCTCTCGGCTGCCACCCTGGAATTACCAGTCATTATGAAACACCCGTAAAACCACTTCAAATATTTCATCTTATCTCCCACGACACAATAAGGTCATTTTATAACCCAAGTCTTCATGTCAGGTGAGGTAGGTGTGCACTTGGTGGCAGGAGTTATCATTCACCTGAGAATGGACTTCCCCCACCACTTGAAATACTCAACACACCTGCCACTATCCAACCCCTCAGTGCTGACTCCCTCAACACACCTGCCACTATCAACCCCTCAGTGCTGACTCCTCAACACACCTGCCACTATCAACCCCCAGTGCTGACTCCCAACACACCTGCCACTATCAACCCTCAGTGCTGGCTCCTCACACACCTGCCACTATCCAACCTCTCAGTGCTGACTCCTCAACACACCTGCCACTATCCATCCCCTCAATGCTGACTCCCTCAACACACCTGCCACTATCCAAGCCCCTCAGTGCTGACTCCTCAACACACCTGCCACTATCCAACCCCTCAGTGCTGACTCCCTCAACACACCTGCCACTATCCAACCCTTCAGTGCTGACTCCTCAACACACCTGCCACTATCCAACCCCCTCAGTGCTGACTCCTCAACACACCTGCCACTATCAACCCCTCAGTGCTGACTCCCTCAACACACCTGCCACTATCCAACCCCTCAGTGCTGACTCCTCAACACACCTGCCACTATCCAACCCCTCAGTGCTGACTCCCTCAACACACCTGCCACTATCCACCCTCAGTGCTGACTCCCTCAACACACCTGCCACTATCCAACCCTTCAGTGCTGACTCCCTCAACACACCTGCCACTATCCAACCCCTCAGTGCTGACTCCTCAACACACCTGCCACTATCAACCTTCAGTGCTGACTCCCAACACACCTGCCTATCAACCCCTCAGTGCTGACTCCTCAACACACCTGCCACTATCCAACCCCTCAGTGCTGACTCCTCCAACACCTGCCACTATCCACCCCTCAGTGTGACTCCTCAACACACCTGCCACTATCCAACCCCTCAGTGCTGACTCCCTCAACACACCTGCCACTATCCACCCCCTCAGTGCTGACTCCCTCAACACACCTGCCACTATCCAACCCCTCAGTGCTGACTCCCTCAACACACCTGCCACTATCAACCCCTCAGTGCTGACTCCATCAACACACTGCCACTATCCAACCCCTAAAGTGCTGACTCCTTCAACACACCTGCCACTATCCATCCCCTCAGTGCTGACTCCTCAACACACCTGCACTATCCAACCCCTCAGTGCTGACTCCCTCAACACACCTGCCACTATCCAACCCCTCAGTGCGACTCCTCAACACACCTGCCACTATCCAACCCCTCAGTGCTGACTCCCTCAACACACCTGCCACTATCCAACCCTTCAGTGCTGACTCCTCAACACTGCACTATCAACCCCTCAGTGCTGACTCCCTCAACACACCTGCCACTATCAACCCCTCAGTGCTGACTCCTCAACACACCTGCCACTATCCACCCTCAGTGCTGACTCAACACACCTGCCACTATCAACCCCTCAGTGCTGACTCCTCAACACACCTGCCTATCCATCCCCTCAATGCTGACTCCTCAACACACCTGCCATATCCAACCCCTCAGTGCTGACTCCTCAACACCTGCCACTATCCATCCCCTCAGTGCTGACTCCTCAACACACCTGCCACTATCAACCCCTCAGTGCTGACTCCCTCAACTAGCCTGTCTACTATCCACAACCCCTCAGTGCTGACTTCCCTCAACTAGCCTGTCTACTATCCGAACCCCCTCAGTGCCGACTCCCTCAACTAGCCTGTCTACTATCCAACCCCCTCAATGCTGACTCCCTCAACTAGCCTGTCTACTATCCAACCCCTCAGTGCTGACTTCCTCAACTAGCCTGTGTACTATCCACCCCTCAATGCTGACTCCCTCAACTAGCCTGTCTACTATCCAACCCCTCAGTACTGACTTCCTCAACTAGCCTGTCTACTATCCAACCCCCTCAATGTTGACTCCCTCAACTAGCCTGTCTACTATCCAACCCCCTCAGTGCTGACTCCCTCAACTAGCCTGTCTATATCCAACCCCCTCAGTGCTGACTCCTCACTGCCTGTCTACTATCCAACCCCTCAGTGCTGACTCCTCAACTAGCCTGTCTACTATCCCAGCCCCTCAGTGCTGACTTCCTCCACTGGCCTTCCTATCCAACCCCTCAGTGCTGACTCCTCAACTAGCCTGTCTACTATCCAACCCTCAGTCTCCTCAACTAGCCTGTCTACTATCAACCCCCTCAGTGCTGACTCCTCAACTAGCGTCTGCTATCCACCCCCTCAGTGCTGACTCCTCAACTAGCCTGTCTACTATCCAACCCCCTCAGTGCTGACTCCTCCAACTAGCCTGTCTCCTATCCACCCCTCAGTGCTGACTCCTCAACTAGCCTGTTACTATCCACCCTCAATGTTGACTCTCAACTAGCCTGTCTACTATCCAACCCCCTCAGTGCTGACTCCTCAACTAGCCTGTCTACTATCCACCCTAGTGCTGACTCCTCAACTAGCCTGTCTCTATCCCCCTCAGTGCTGACTCCTCAACTAGCCTGTCTACTATCCAACCCCCTCAGTGCTGACTTCCTCAACTAGCCTGTCCACTATCCAACCCCCTCAGTGCTGACTTCCTCAACTAGCCTGTCCACTATCCAACCCCCTCAGTGCTGACTCCCTCAACTAGCCTGTCTACATCTAAATAAAAACAAACTCTTATTAATAGCTGTTGACAATTAAAACTACAAACTGATCAAATATTTATAAGTAGGATAATGTATTTCAGTAAGAGTTACTCCTGGGAATAATATAGATACATAAAGACATGAATGGATATTTATTCAGTTAATCGCCATAAAAATCCATATTGATTCAACGTGTTTGGAAATGACACTCAGGTGGTTGTGTTCCCATGAAGGCTGAAGAAACAAAGAGGTTGATTAATTCTCACCTGCATTTGAGCGAGCGAGTACAACCAGTACCAGTCACCATTACCAATACTGTGTTTATTATTATTATTTCTATTACTATCATCATTATTATTCTTATTTCTCATTACTATTATTATTAGTTATTATCATCATTATCATTTTTATTTCTAGTATTACTATTAGTATTATCAGTTGGGGCTTTTCTCATAATCTGACACTATTTCAATATTGTATCTGTAATAATTCTAATTCGTAATACTTTTGTCCTCTGTAATAGGAAATCAGGTTAAACTGGCAGTCATCTAATTTACCTAATTTAATTTAGCCCACTACAGTACAACTACAGTGTTTGGGGAGGAAAAAGTATAATAATGATATTGTGAAAGAATGAAGAAAAGGCCAAGATAAAATGGATGAAATGGCAGAAAAGAGACTTGAAAGAAAGATAATGAACAAGATATAAGAAGAATAAAGGAAAACAAGAAATGATGAGAAAAAGAAGGAACAGAGTAATTGACACAAGATAAAAGATATAACGCAAAATTAAAGTAAAATACATAAATCATTACATTTACTTGTTTATAATTAATGTGAATATAAAATGTTGAGTGTTACAATAATGGTCCAGGAGAATAAGTGTCACTTTATGCCATGAAGTGTCAGGGCATTTAGTGTCTCAGTGCCATTATAAGTATCTAATACATAATTGCCCTACATATTTACCTTCACAAAAACCTATAACACTTGTGGACACACTGTAACCTTTCATTCTGTATATGAAGGAAAAGTCGTGAGCAAAAATAGACAGAAAATAGGTGAAGCGGCCCAGTAAGGGCATGAAACCAGGGTACAATCGGTGAGTGTGAGTGTCACTCACGGTGAGAGGTGGAAGGTGGTGCAGGCAAGAGAACAACAGCAACAGGTGTGTACATTCCCATGGCCTCTTGTGTACAGTATATATACACCCTGCAACACCACTTCAACCCACACTCAACCAGCGTGAGCAGCACATCTACCACAAGGTAAACATCCCTCTTAAACTTTATTAATACAAACTTGTGCTACACACTTCCTCTCTCTTGAACAGCGTCCAACAAAACATTATTTACCACATCAACGATTGTGAATAATCATTGAAATAATGGTGTGTGAAATTTTTCAGAAATTCACGTAATCAAATGTAAAAATATTAAAGGAATTATATAGATAATGAAATTTGGATATTTTATATATAAGTGACAGACGTTTACTGAGAGTATTCTTTATCCTAGATGAAGGTAGCAGCATTGTTCCTGTGTGGCTTGGCTCTGCACAGCCAGCCCTCCTGGGATCACTTTCAAGGTACAGTAAACCCTCAAGGAGAGATGTCAGAGGCTCTCAGGAACAGACTGCTATATTTTCTTAGTCATTTGTGCCAACAAAATAATTATAATTGCATTGCTTGTGAAACCACAGCAGTAAATACTTGAGTGACAGAGAAGGATTTAAAACAGCCATATTGAGCTCGTCCATCTTCTCAGGTGACTGAACCTGTCCACCTCCCAACTGCTTCAAACATTTGTCATTCTGCTGATACTTTACTTCACTGCTGAGATACATGTATGTGTTGGCTCCCACAGACTCAGTATGGCAGGAATGCGGAGACGCAAAGGAGGAGCTCTACCGCCAGAGGGTATTCCAGCAGAATGAGCAGCTCATGAAAGACTTCAACAAGAAGTTTGAGAATGGCGAGGTCACCTTCAAGGTGGCCATGAACCAGTTTGGTGACATGGTTAGTCCATCATGTGTTCATAGATCATTTGGACTTGTTATTGTTTTTGTTTACTAAGAAATTGACAAATGCTGTACATGTGTTCCTCAACTATTGCAAAAGTTAACAAGGTATAACTGGAGTACATGTGAAAGACATCCTTGTTCCCAGAACCAATATTGTTGTGGTGTTACAGACCAATGAAGAGTTCAACGCTGTGATGAAGGGATACAAGAAGGGGTCTCGTGGTGAACCCAAGGCCGTGTTCACCGCAGAAGGCCGATCAATGGCGGCTGATGTTGACTGGCGCACCAAGGGTGCCGTCACCCCTGTCAAGGACCAGGAACAATGTGGCTCTTGCTGGGCTTTCTCTGCAGTAAGTCTATATTTGAGCTGTTAATATATATTTCCTTGTTGTTATAGAATGTTGTCAGTGGTGACAACTCATTTTTAGCATCACCTCAAAGTATGTCTTAAATATACAAGCTTTGCCAATATGTCGTGTGATGTATGTAATTACAGTATAGTAATTGTTCACTGTCAATCCACTCCCACAGACCGGCGCTCTGGAGGGTCAGCACTTCCTCAAGAACGACGAGTTGGTGAGTCTCTCTGAGCAACAACTTGAACTGCTCCACCGATTACGGTAACGATGGATGTGGTGGTGGATGGATGACTTCGGCTTTCGACTACATCAAGGACAATGGTGGTATCGACACAGAGTCTTCCTATCCTTATGAAGCTGAGGTATGTCATATAAACACAGCTCAAGTGCTTCATATACTGCTTCATAAAGCTTTATAATTAATCGTTGCCTGCCAAAAACCAACTGTAAAGAATTATAAATGGAGGAGTGTCATTAATACTACATATTGTTCTCTGCATGTAGGATCGTTCTTGCCGCTTCGATGCAAACAGTATTGGTGCCATCTGCACTGGCTCCGTGGAAGTCGAACACACCGAGGAGGCCCTACAAGAGGCTGTCAGTGGTGTTGGCCCCATCTCCGTGGCCATCGATGCCTCCCACTTCTCCTTCCAGTTCTACAGCAGTGGTAAGGGAACACAACATTGCTATAACAGAATCCACCGCTCTCCTTTGTTACCTCTCAAATATCCAAAGAGTGTGTGCGTGTACCATGACAGATATTAGACTACAATAGATGTTACCATGTGGCCACACCATGACACATATATCTCTGAGTGTGTTTGTAGTTTGACAGTTATTAACAGCAGCACTTTGCTCTACAGGTGTCTACTACGAGCAGAATTGTTCCCCGACCTTCCTGGACCACGGAGTGCTGGCAGTGGGTTATGGCACTGAGAGCACTAAAGACTACTGGCTTGTCAAGAACTCTTGGGGCAGCAGCTGGGGTGATGCTGGATACATCAAGATGTCTCGTAACAGGGACAACAACTGTGGTATTGCCAGTGAACCTTCCTACCCAACAGTGTAGAGGCCAGGGTGTACCAGACTATCACATCAGGGTGAGAGGTGGCTGCTGCTGCTCCCCGACATGAGAGACTTACCATGAACTCTGTGATGTGATCACCTTCATATGTGCAGCTCTCAGTGTTTCTCCCTTGGAGGTCTACTGTTAAAAGCTTAGGAAATAAAGTCATGATATTTAGATTTGTTATTAAAGAACCTACAAATAATATAAATTTTCCCCCATAAAACACACACTATATAAAGAAAGAACACCGGAATTATATTAAGAGAAAGAGAAAGAAAATTGTGTTGGTCAGTTACAACACAAACCATAAAGAAGTACAGTAGTATGTGAATAAACCGGACTAATTGGGGCAGACCCCAGATTGGTAAAAGAGAAAAAAGAGAATCTAGGGAAGGATCTGGACATAAACCCATTTATCAGCACTGTTTCAAGAAAATCAGACATAGGTCTGGTTGTCAACAACTGTTTTCAATGACATGAATGTTTTATATTGTAAAATGTTATACGTAAAGTCAGTACTGTACATATGTACTGGTAACCATAAAATTTGCAGAAAAGTAATTTCAATATGCTCGTGTGCCTTATGAATAAAGAAAAAACTGGGAGATGAGGGTGTATCTGGGAGCAGGAGGTAGTGCCTGTGGTTGGCTCCCTCTCCCATGACCCCTTTCTCACGTCTTTATGTATTTCAAAAAATTATACTATTTAGGTTCATTTGGTGCTGGGTTGTGTACAGTACAGTATAACCTTATCATAAAATAATCAACTTTCCTGAAAAATTCCCACACAACCCCAGATTAGTTATTGAGGCATTAAATTTCTGCACCTTTCTTTAGTGTGAACAGCTGATCATCCAAGCCCTACCTCACCATGTTAACAGCGCTCTTCATCTCTCATGCTTACCACAACATCTGCCTTCAGCAATTAGTAAATAATATTGTTGTGTATTTATCAGCACTTGATAATATTGTAGTGTATTATGCATCTGCATAGTTCCTGGTGTACAATATTCAGTAATCAGTTGTTTAAGTGCACAAGTAGCCAAATTGAATCATCAGTATAATTCAAAATAAATAATGTTATTAGTAATGTATTTTCATATCAAATACCATACAGAATGTTATAATGACCCTGTTGTAAGCTGATTTGCTTGAGCTCTTTCTCCAGGAATGCATCCTGAGTAAATACCTTTTGATACAGCTTATCCTTTTATTTTCAAAAGTAAAAATTACATGTTGTATTTTTTCTATTGTTGAAGGTGTTATATTAATTATGATGAATCATACACCATAAGAGGCTGATCATATGAAAATATAATATTGATTCAATAAATAACCTTGTGAATGCAGCATGGGTCCCCTTACCATCCCCAGCCTGTTAACATACACGGTATCTTATCTCTTGTAGTTCTTGTTAGGCCAACAGCATATCTGATAAGACCACTGTACAGTATTCAGTGAGTAAGTGTTTTCTATAAGCATTTTTTTTATTTTACCTATTTATTAAAATATGTAAACTCTACATAATTTTTCCTAGGTTTAGCACATTGATACAACATGTATGGAGGCAGGACTTAGACCGAGACACATGCAGTAAGTCACGTAACACCCACACACAGACATCCAACCGCATGTACGAACACAAACCGTCCGGACTGATGCTAAATTTTCCAGACTTTTTAAAATATTTCTGGTGAATAGAGCACCTCAAGAGAGACAAATGAAGCAAACTCTGGTGTATTGTATTGTACTGAAGTCTGGTGTATAAAACTGAAGGTTCTACTCCAGTTGCTATAGATTTATTTGAATAACTAAATTTATGTGGGGAATGAAAATTTAGGAATCATTGGTCCATCTTTCCAAATTCCTATGGTTTCAGAAAATTTAGATAATAGTAAAAAAAATTATATCTAAAAACATTAAAGTCTTAACTTTTCACGTGCTGGTCATGAAGGAGCTTCATTATTTTAGAGAACAGTTGACAAGTATGTTTAGAGGTGAGTGTGTCGCTCTGTCTTACACCAAGAACCAACAAAAAATATGCACCTTGATTACACAGGTTCACTGTCACCCACAGGTGTACAGAACTCTCATAGGCCCCTCCTTGTTGTCTGGGAAATAGCTATAAGGGGTTCATCCCATCATCATCACGGTCTGGCAAGTAACTAAACATTCCATCTTTCAACTAAAAAGACCTTTATTCATATGACTGTCAAACCATGTACTAAGAATAAATAAGTTGATCTCTAGTCATATGGGGAAAAGGAACTGGAGGGAGGGCAGAGCAGGGTAGCACTAGTGAGGAGATGAGTGTGAGGGGACAAGAGGAGTTGAAGTGTCATCATTCACCGAGACATAGATGGGAGTAGTGTTTGTAGTCGTGATTTCCTCAAACACAAACTATATCCAAAGATGTTTGTTTACCTTAATGATTGCAGGAGCAGGAGATAACTGCAGCCATGTAAAGATAGGTACAAAGAGAACATATTTTTTCATAGTCTACTGTACTGTACCGTACTACAGTATACTATAAGACCAAGCTATCAAAAAAAAGATGTGGTGTGTAAATAATAATAAGTATATGGGTTAGTTATTATAATAATGCATCTTCATATATGAAGACCAGAGATACACAAATGAAGGTTTTTACTTTACTTTTATCCTTTCACCACTGATCGTCATAGCCACTTGGCTATCATCAACGCCTATTATGTCGCATTGTTCATGGTAAGTCTCTCATGATGGGGAGCAGCAGCAGCAGCCACTACTTGACCTGACATGGAGATCTGGCTTGTTGAGGCCTCTAGACTGTTGGTGAAGGTTCACTGGCAATACCACAGTTGTTGTCCCTGTTACGAGACATCTTGATGTATCCAGCATCACCCCAGCTGGTGCCCCATGAGTTCTTAACGATCCAGTAGTCCTGGCCGCCCTCAGTGCCATAACCGACCACCAGCGAGGCATGACCGAGGATGGTTGAAGAACACCCTGCTCGTAGTAGATGCCTTTAAAACAAAATCTTTAACTAAAATAATTGTCAAGATACAAGAACACTTGATAGCATATACCAGGGACTGAATATTATCTGTTGACATCTGTCCTAATACAGGACTGTACAAGTGAACCATGTGACCACTTTTAAATACCAACATCTTACTTCAGCTGTCACTCAAGTGTCACACAGATCAGTGTTGAGATACTGTACATACATATAATTTGCCGAGTACTGTACTGTACTGTGTTAATGATTGTTTTAGTATATTCTCCTATAAGAAGAGCACAGTAATGTACTGTATACTATCTTATACTGTACTCTATATCAAATACAGTACTACAATATCAGGTTTATTATGATTAAAACAATTCAAGGGTGATATCCTTACCTTACTTCATTATTGGCTCCAAAAACACAATATTTGCAATGGAGATTTTTATTAACTAATAATAAATCAACAATAAAGTACATACATGTCTAGTGTGTTTGTGTGTGTGTCCTCACCACTGCTATAGAAGGAGAAGGAAGAATGGGTGGCGTCGATGGCTACACATATGGGGCCAATGTTAGCGACGGCCTCCTGCAGGACGCTCTCATTGTTCTTCTGGACGTTGATGAATCCAGTGCATGTGGCACCGACACTATTGGCTTTGAAGCGACACGTTTCTTCCTGCATGGAAGAATATTCCTCAATGTCTTGCAAAAAAATTGGCCTTTGGTAAAGAAACAATCACTAGAAATCCTAAGTTTTGCATACATTAAATATAACTTTAACCAACAAACACTGTATGATAAACATGAGGGCAATGCTTGCCTGACTTACCACAGCTTCATAAGGATAAGATGATTCTGTGTCAATACCACCATTGTCTCTGATGTACTCGAAGGCACTATTCATCCAGCCACCACTACAGCCATAGTTGCCGTAAGACGTGGAACAATCGACGAGTTCTTGGTCAGAAAGACTCACCAGGTTACCAGTCTTAAGGAAGTGCTGACCCCAAGGCACCAGTCTGAACAAGTGGGTTGAGGTGAACACTAAGTGTAATGCAACACTGCATCTTGACATAGATTAAATACATATTCAGTGACCCCTCCGTTAACGAACTCAACCGCTCCAGAAGGTCGTCTAACCGAAAAGTTCGTTAACCGAAACCATTGTTTCAATGGGTTTTTGGTAATTGGTTCCAGCTCACCGAAAATTTCCTAAATTCAACAAAAATGGTAGAAAAGTTCACTTACTTTGAGGTGAGTATGTAGAAGGCTCCTGGATGATGATGATGATGATGATGGGATTTAGAATGGGGTGGAGGAGGGAAGAAGAGAAGGCATTGGGGGAAAGAGAAGTCATCCATGGCGCTATTTCACCCATAAAATTTTAGCTCTCTTGGTGTAATTCAAGATTATTTTCTTTAAATCAACACTGCACTGCATTATATATTGTCAATATGTAAAATATATTTCAAAATGACCAATAATTTGCTTGGAAACACAGAAAAAAAAGGTTTAGTTGAAGAGAGTCTCAAGCAAGATGTTACCTCCAGTGAAACCAGAGAGACTAACTCCTGTTTGCTGTGTTAAGAGGCTGGATGCCGAGCATTAAACTAGTCACTTTACCTTCAGTTATGTTCAATAATTGTTAAAATGACTAAAAATTGAATATTAAACTTTTAAAATTATTGAATAGTATAAACTTCTTTGATATTTACTAAAATAGTAAGGAATTTAAGCCCTAGAATCGATTAATGTATTGGCAGACTGATACTAAAGCTGGTGTTCCGGTCAGTGCAAGCGAAACATGTTGGAGGTTTGCAGAAGAACTGTTAACCGAATTTTTTTTCGTTAACTGAATTGAAGATCCTTATGGAAGGCAGTTCGTTAATCGAAATTACGTTAACCGAGGTGTTCGTTAAACGAGGGGTCACCAAGCGTACTGTACTGTATGTATTGCACCATGAAAATTCACAAAACGAGTTGCACCAAAATAGACTTACTGCAGAGAAAGCGAAGCAAGAGCCACATTGTCCCTGGTCCTTGACAGGGGTGACGGCACCCTTGGTGCGCCAGTCAACATCAGCCATTATTGACGCCTTCATGTGAACACGGCCTGGGTTCACTACGAGACCCCTTCTTGTATCCCTTCATCACAGCTGAACTCTTCATTGGTCTGTAACACCACAACAATATTGGTTCTGGGAACAAGGATGTTCATGTACTCCAGTTATACCTTGTAATTTTTGCTATAGTTGAGGAACACATGTACAGCATTTGTCAATTTCTTAGTAAACAAAAACAATAACAAGTCCAAATGATCTATGAACACATGATGGACTAACCATGCAACTGGTTCAGCCCACCTTGAAGGTGACCTCGCCATTCTCAAACTTCTTGTTGAAGTCTTCATGAGCTGCCTGCTGGAATACCCTCTGGCGTAGAGCTCCTCCTATGCCTCGTATCGCCATACTGAGTCTGTGGGAGCCAACACATACATGTATCTCAGCAGTGAAGTAAAGTATCAGCAGAATGACAAATGTTTGAAGCAGTTGGGAGGTGGACAGGTTCAGTCACCTGAGAAGATGGACGAGCTCAATATGGCTGTTTTAAATCCTTCTCTGTCACTCAAGTATTTACTGCTGTGGTTTCACACAAGTAATGCAATTATAATTATTTTGTTGGCACAAATGACTAAGAAAATATAGCAGTCTGTTCCCTGGAGAGCCTCTGACATCTCTCCTTTGAGGGGTTTACTGTACCTTGAAGTGATCCCAGGAGGGGCTGGCTGTGGCCAGAGCCAAGCCACACAGGAACAATGCTACCTTCATCTAGGATAAAGAATACTCTCAGTAAACGTCTGTCACTTATATATAAAAGATCCAAATTTCATTATCTATATAATTCCTTTAATATTTTTACATATGATTACGTGAATTTCTGAAAGAATTACACACCATTATTTCAATGATTATTCACAATCGTTGATGTGGTAAATAATGTTTTGTTGGACGCTATTCAAGAGAGAGGAAGTGTGTAGCACAAGTTTGTATTAATAAAGTTTAAGAGGGATGTTTACCTTGTGGTAGATGTGCTGCTCACGCTGGTTGAGTGTGGGTTGAAGTGGTGTTGCAGGGTGTATATATACTGTACACAAGAGGTCATGGGAATGTACACACCTGTTGCTGTTGTTCTCTTGCCTGCACCACCATCCACCTCTCACCGTGAGTGACACTCACACACATTGCTAATCATTGAACCAATTGTCATGAATGTATTCATAACCATAACTTCTCTGCATGTTGATGATAAATGGAATGGACTACTTTGGTGACACTGTTAGTGTGTGTTGTGTGTTGACATTTTTTATTACACTTGTCATTAGTGTTCTGAACAAAGTAAACCATATACAATGTTTCTTCCATGACAGCACAAAAAATTTTCCTCAACAACTTTCTGTAGATTTATTGTTATAACAGATAACATAAATGTTGTGTTATATCAGAGAAGAAGGTTTGTAGCGGTGGAATACTGTACGTGACCAGAGTACATAACGGGCCATAACATGGGTTCAGTGTTGGCTAGATACTATTTTGGGGTTCAATTTTTATCTGTCTGTAAAATAATCATTTGTGCTGTGTCTTTGGGCAGAGAATTTACTATTATTTATACTTTGATTCTCTGACCATAGATATGTAAATAATTTCAGGTGTACAGTCAAGAAGTTCAGGTGGGAAAAGGCATACTTAAAAGCCTAATCATTTTGTGTAACAGTAGTAGGTGTCCTAGTTTTCCCATGTCTTCTTTACAGTATATATACACCTGGCCATGCCGTCTTGAGCTACACTTACCTGGAGTAAGCATTGTACCACATCTACAAGGTATAACTCTCTGCTACAGTTGTGCTTGACATGAATGCTGCTTTTGTTATGGCTTTGTGTATTGTAAATCAGAGGCAAAAAATAATATATGCATTTTGATATATTAATGATTATTATGTAGCGGAACTCGTTCATAACTTCGGGACTCGCTGTATATGACAGGGATTCGTTCTTGGATCCTGATCTTAAGTCGATTTGTTCATAAGTCAGATGTGTTAATTCCATTGTTTAGATAAGATTAAAGCACAAACCTGCTCATACAAAACAACAATAATATCCCATACATAACAAATAATGTAGAAAATGAGATTTTAATTTAAAATTTTTGTGAAGAATATACAGTGTGATCCCAATCGTAAGGGCAGGTGGGTAACTCAGGGACTGCTTGTGTAAAGGAAGGACCTGACTATGACTTCAACACTACTTTTCTCACACTAATATAAGGTGATGACATCGCCTAGGTCACCTGTGTGATGGGCTTGTTATTCAACACAGTGGAAACTGTCAACTAATACTGAACTTCTGGCCATTCAAACTTTACAGTTTATACATATACAGTACAGTATATGATCTGTTAACATTCATGCATACTCTGACTACACTTATGACCAACTTATAATTAGAAGTGTTGCTGAAACATAATGTTATTAATGAGTGCGTCTTATTGACATTGTTGTGACAAGGGAACTTGTCTCAGTTTTGTGAGCTTTATGAAGGTCTCTTACCAGCCTCTTTGTCTGTGGTTGTACGGGGTTTTTACTACAGAAGATATAATACTGTGAGGCATACAGGTAATACCTTTAACGTTGTGTTCTAAGTGGTTTTTCCAGAGTCGTTTTCTCTCCAGGCCTGAACTCACATTCATGTGCTGCAGTTGTCCTCAACTTCCTGTTATATTCAAGACTTCCACCTAATGTTCATTATTCGTATATAATGGTGCTCTTTATTGCTCCTCCATATTTACATCAACACACCTCCATGTGTGAAGGTGTTCATGTCCCAGAGTTTATGGTGGTCTCTCATGCCTGGGAGTAGCACCAACGGCACCATTTGCCGCTAGGTGCTGGTCTGATAATATGCAGTCAGCTCTAGACGGTCAAGAGGCAGCGAAGCAACACCGCAGTGGTTGCTTCTGTTGCGAGCCATCTTAATGTATCCCTGTAAGCTCCCAGGTGGAGGCCCAGAGTTCTTGCACGAGCCAGTAGTCCTGGCTGCCCTCTGGTTTTATCCGCCAAGTGGGGCACAGCTGCGGTCCAGGTTGGCTGATGAGCAGTTAGGCTCGTGAGTAGACGCTTCGTGGTACAACATAACTGTTGAAAACTACCGTGGTACAGCCACATGTTTCTTTGAGTAATAAAATACCACCATCATCATTACAAGTACAGTACTGTAAATATTGTAGACTGGGCTTAATTAAAGGCCATGCAAGAAGACAGTGCAAAAGTGCTGTATTAAGCAGTATGTGATATGCATGCGTAAAAGGCATCGTCATGGTAGAACTGAAGGAAAGTGAGAAGCATCAATGGCCACAGAAATGGGACTCCACGCTTGATAAGGCCTCGCTGCAGGCCAGTTTCACTTCCTTGTGCAATGTCCACATGAGATACGAGCGGCACCAATGCTGTTTGCATTGAGTTTACAGGTCTTGTCCTGAATGGAAGACACAAAAGTGAATTAGCCATAAGTCAGTTTGTCCTGAAGTACGATTATTAAGTATCATTAGAAAAAGCATTGATGATTAATACAAACCACTTCTAGGAAACAATTTCTTTTAAGTCAAATTGTTTAATAAAATTGTTCTTTCTTCCAAGATCGCTAAGAGAGCTTAAGTGACTTGCCTTGCCTCGTAAGGGTATGAAGCCCCAGTGTCGACGCCTACCCATTGTCCCTGATGTAGTTGAAGGCTCTATCTACCCATCCACCATTACATCCCTGGTTAAAGTAAATTCCTCCAGCGCAGTCGACGAAAGTTGCTGCTCAGGAGAGACTCCACCAGCCCCCTCATACTCTTGAGGAAGTGCTGACCTCCAGGGAGCCGGTCTGTGGTGAGTTACAGCCAGTCTCAAGAACTATCTCAATATAAGAGTATAACTGGACAATACTGCAGCCTGATGTGTGTAGTAAGAGAAGGTACACTGACCTCTGTGGTGCTTTATTATAATAATGTGATACTATTATATTAAAAGCTCCAAGTATGTACCATCACTCTATATATGGTTGTCATTCGAGTAAGAACAACAATGATTAATGAGAAGGAAAATACCTTATTTAAATCACATTCCAAGAGAAAATTTGTTGGTAAATTATCTGAAGAACAGCTTGATAAACACATCAGTCACTTACTGTGGAGAAAGCCCAGCAAGAGCCACATTGTCCCTGGTCCTTGACAGGGGTGACGCAAGACCCTTGGTGCGCCAGTCAACATCAGCCGCCATTGGTACTTTCCTTAGCGTGAACACGGCCTTGGGTTCATCACGAGACCCCATCTTGTATCCCTTCATCACAGCATTGAACTCCTCATTGGTCTGTAAAACCACAATAATTTTAGTTGTTGGAATAAGAGAATTTATTTCAAGTTAAGGAATTAGATTTCATTGTTCACTAATCTTTTCAATGTTCAAAAGATATTATAATTTAATAAAACTGTCATCAAATGATGTACAGACTAACCATGTCACCAAACTGGTTCATGGCCACGTTGAAGGTGACCTCGCTTCTCTCAAACTTTTGTTGAAGCCTTCATGAACTGCTCGCTCTTCTGAACACTCCTCTGGCGGAAGAGCCCTCCTCGCATCAACATACTCTTGGGCGTAATTTCATGCTGAGCCTGTGGGAGCCAATACGCACACATGTACACCATCATGTAGGTATCACATCTCGAAATATTTCAAACTGAAGTAATGATGATTCAGTCAGAAATCAAATGATTAAAAAATAAATCAAATTTGTCTGTAAGTGGTCAGTGAAAAATGGGAAATTTTGTTGAAGGTAAATGATATCATTAAGGCCAAGTTATTCCAAAGATAAATTATTTGAATCTTGGTTATGAAATACGAAGGATAAGGTGTAACACAAACTCCACCTGATAAACTTATCACCTACAGTGACAGATTTAAACTTAGTAAACAGAAGGAAGTTTCTAAGTGTTAGATCACATGTGATGAACTTTTGTCACAGTTAACATTCAATCTTACAATTGTTTATTGATTTGTTTTTCATTATTTTATCTTCCCACTCTAGCCAAGTGACTTCCAGGTGATCAAGTAATACCTCGAGGATGATGAAGGGCTTACTGTACCTTGAAGTGCTCCCAGGAGGGGCTGGCGGCCAGAGCCAAACCACACAAGAACAATGCTGTCACCT